AAAAAAACAAAAAAAGAAAAGAAAAGAAAAGAAAAATTCTCCGTCCCCAAGTTCTTCACAGTCATGGCCCCAGAAGAAGCTTCTGTCTCTCCCTCCTCCTTTCCAACTCTGAACAGCTGCAGCACAAGGGCTGAAGCAGGTCTTGGGTCAAGGGTGGTGAGAGGTAGCACGTCCATGGCCTGGAACAGCGTGTGTGGGGAAGCAGTGGTAGGAGGGGGTGGGGGAGACAGGCTCCATGGGCATTTCCCAGGAATCAGAGACTCTTAAGCCATGAGTTCTAGCCCTGAAGCCAGAACCTACCTCAGACATTCCCAGAGATCTTCACACCACTGGGATCAAAATCAGCCAGGAGGTAAGGTGGAGAGGGGAGTGTCCTACTATGCTAGAGGGGGTTGTCATGTTCTTGGACTTCTGGCCTCTTCTCCCCGTCCCACCCTCCATGGGTAACTGGGATCAGGGAATCCCAGAGCCCGGCTTTTGCAGGTCTTGGATCTGGCCAGCCACTCTTCCCCACCCTCCCCTACCCCTCAACCTGCTCCCAAATGGCCCCTAGTCTCTGCCACTGCCCGGGGATTCATGGGTGAATCCTCACCCCTGAAGTTAATAGTCCTGGGACCTTCGGCCCTGTAGTTGAACTAGGGTAGGAAGTGGGCAGGTCTGCCCTGAGCCGGCTCACCCTCCTCAGCCCTTCCTGGAATAGTCTCCCTACTTTTCCTGCACACCCTTGGGAAGTGCACCAGGATCCCAGGGAAGAGAAGCTGCAACTCACCCAGGCAGTGATCAGACCCTCCTCAAGGCCCTCTGTGCCTGTCCTACATGGGATGCTGGGGACTCAGCAGGGATAATGCAGAGTCCCTGTCCTCCTGGAGCACGTATAGGGAAGGGAGGAAGGGAGTTTGGCTTGGGGGGTGCTGTTCCAGAATCCCCATTGCCCGTCCCAAAGCACCTGACACATCATGGTTGAACTTGGAGGTGAGCAGGACTCTAGCTGCCAGATAATGGCCACATTCCACAGTACCAGCCTCTGTGTGGGCCACCAGGCAGCGACGGGGAACCTAGGTCCCAGGACTGGGTGAGATCAGAGACAGAACTAGATTGTATTGGAATCAATCTCACACCCAGAACTAGGCAGAAGCTCAGCCAGCTCAGGGGAGACACTGTTACTGACTCCCACCCCCTCCACAGTCCCCCCAAACTTTAGTGTTTACAGATTTACAGAGAGCCTCCACACGTTTGCTTGTCTGCCTCCCACAATAGTCCTGTGAGGAATGTCTGCCAGGGACTATCTCCTCAAGGCTCATAGGGCAGGGGCCCAATATTCTGACCTCTGACCAAGGCCCATAGGGTGTGCCTTAAACAGCGTGGAAGGGTCTTTCTCACCAATAGTGTAGGATGGGGATTGTAACCCCTAAATGCTTTTCTGTAGAGGTTAGGCAAGGAACACAAATGAAACATGCTAGGTCAAGGATACAACAAGTGGCCCAGCTACTGGCCCAGTCCTGTCAACGAGTTGTTGCTGTAACGATCCAGTGTTGCTGACTTTTCTGATCTTCTCTCTCCCTTCACCTCCAAAAAACACCAAACTAGAAATCTAGATTGTGATGTGAATTCTCCTGATTTAAATGTTGGCTTGATCGTTTAAACACACACACACAGTGAAGGCCAAAACAGGCATGTTTGCCGTCTCTGGCCTAAGCATTAGTCGTGCACTTGGGCAGTGCGGCTGCTTCTCCTCCCGGCTCAGGGCACAGCGAATGCCTGATAAACACCTGTCGGATTAAGCCCATCCCTCCTGCTTCCAAGGTCTGGCCTGCCTCTGCTCTGGGCAGGACATGTTTCTGCAATTTGAGAGGAGATGGGGCCCGGGGATACTGGTCTTAATGTGAGAAATTAGTTGCCAGTTCTCTGAATGGGATCTTGCAAACAAATCCTCCTCCCAGGCCACCTTCCTTATGTACTTGATATCTGTATGCAGTTACAGATTTTGCAGAGTACACAATACAGCTCTAAGGAAGCTGAGGCCCAACACTGGTAAGCAGTATAAACAGGACCTGATCAAGCAACGATTTATTGAATGCCTACTGTGCATGTGCTGGGCTCAGGCCTCCAACAGAGACTCTGGCTTGTCCTCTTTGAAGTGCTGTTGAGGGGAACCCGGCAAGAACCCTGCCCAGGGGCATTTCTTGTTCCCAGCTTGAGGAGACAAGTGCTATTCGTTAGATATCACCTCAGTGAAGCCTTTCAGGCTTGCTCCAGGTGAGGCCCTTTCTCCACTGCCAGCATCATGCATTCTATGTTACTGGTCCTGAGTCCAGCTCCTTCATGACACCAGGCTACCCCAGTACTGGGGCTGTCTCGCTCACTTCTGGAACCTTAGGGAGGATCTAGAATGTGAGCTGCACGGTGCTTGCTGACTGACATCACCAGTGAAAGGGCTCTAGACTTGAGGAAGAGAGGGGAACAGAGGTTTACAGAGTCACTCTCTTGAGCCAGATGTGTCATGTAAGGGATCTCATGGAATCCTCACAATTTTGTGAGGGAGCCATTGCCATCCCTGTTTTACAGATGAAGAAACTGAAGCTTGGAAGAGGTAGACCTGTCCTAGGTCATACAGCTAGGAAGAGACAAGCCTGGATACTCTGTGCCGGAAGCTGAGAGAGGGGTTACTTCACATTTCTTCCCTTTAGGCCCTATTCTATGTGGTTATGGTTCTTTCTCGACACAGCAAGCCTGACAAAAGGCGAAATTTGGGGGTAGGGTGCCAGATCCACGGGGTTAATGGTGGAAGGGACAGTCCCACAGAGGTGGGCACTAGGCCTCCTCAGCCTCACAAGGGCTCCAGTCTGTGCCTCACCCTAGGAACACAGACAGCTATGGGGAGGAAACAGAAGGGCCTCACAGCTTGGACGCGGCTCTGAGCACAGAGTATGTAGTGCTCTGGGAAGCATCCCTCTGGCTCCTATATACTCAAAGTTTTTCCAACAGGAATACATTTGTTTGGGCAGCCCTCCCCAATGCCCAGGCAAAAGGGCCACGTTCAGTCCCCAATGTCCAGGAACAAGTGAATCTTCATCATTTCTTCCTCCTTTGGGGGATCAGAGAATGAGCCTGGGGAACCTCTGAGGGAAGCGGCTAAAGAAGGAAGGGGTAAATGACAAATATTGGGCCTTTTCCCCCTGCCTAGGAATGCCACAAAGCACGCCCTGAACTCAACAGACAGATCTCCTGGTCCTTTGCTTTGGCCCTGGGCCCCACCAGCCCTAGCTTCACCCTGTAAAGACAGTTCTCTTTTAAAGGGGTCATACACCCTAGAGCTCACATAATAGTCCCAATTACAAATTCTCTGGTCCTTCTGCCAGAACACAGCCTTCCCTATGGTCTCCTCAGGAGGCTAGGACCCTACCCACCCCAGTGCATTCAACAAAGGGGTGTGCCTGGTGTCTGGTCCCATTCCCCTGGGATGAGGTAGTTGTTGCTCTTGGTTTGATTAACCCATCACTCCCTAGGCCTGTGAAGAGATCTGTTCAGCAGCTGCCAAAGGTGTCCTACAACTGGAAGCAGCTGGACCAATGCTAGACAGCGCCTGCCATCCAAAAACTCTCCCTCCAGCCCGAGTTCTGTCTCTAGGGCCTCAGAGAACAGGCCTATAAGCTCTCTTATGTGGGAAGGTTCTTTGAAGGCAGTGATCTCAGCTCTACTGTTCTGATTCCTCCAGCCTGGAGTTCCCTGATTCAGCCTACAAATCAGCAGCCCCAGCTAGAGGAGCAGAAAAGAGGTTTGCTTAGAGATGCTGGTCCCCTCAGGCTCCTTGAGGACTGGACCAAAGTCAGAGCTGAAGTTTGGGCTGAAAGCCAGGGATGAAAGCAGGAGCTGCCTGCCACTCTGGTGTGTCTGCTCCTGCTGGCCCAGGTTGGAGTTGTGGGCAAAGGCCTTGCCCCACTGCAAGCAGACATAGGGCTTCTCACTGCTGTGAGCCACCTGGTGGACAAGCAGGTGGGGAGCTCCAGCTGAAGTTTTTGCCAAGCTCACTGCAAGGGCAAGGCTTCTGGCCCATGTGAGTGTGTTGGTGCTGTAGCAGATTTGAACTGTCTACAAAACTTGGTGCAACTGGGGCACTTAAAGGGCTTCTCACCCACGTGCTAGCACTGGTGCTGCAACAGGTTGGAGCTAAGGCAGAAGCTCTTGCTGCAGTCCCCACAGTGGCAGGGCTTCCCACCTGTGTGTGTGCTGGCTGGATCAGGTTGGAGCTAACACTGAAAGTCTTACCACACTCAGCACAGGTGTAGGGCTGCTCACGTGTATGTACCGTTGGTCTTTAACCAGGTCTGAGCTGTGGCCAAGAGCCTCCCTGCACTCCAGGCACTTGTGGGGCTGGAGGCCTGAGTGGGAGCCAGGGTGTTGGATGAGAGTGGAGCTGAGGCTGAAGCAACTGCCACACTCAGGGCAGGCGTATGGTTTCTCTCCAGCGTGTACCTGGTGCTTAAGCAAATTTGAGCCACATCGGGCGCTTTTGCCATACTCTGGATAATGATATAGAACCTGAAGTCAGTTTGCTCACCCATCACGCAGCAAGCCAATCTCTGACACCAAGTGTAGTAGAACAAAGTAGGAATTTTATTGCCGAGCGCTGAGCAAGGAAAACCGCCAGCTAACGCTGCAATCCCGAACTTCTCAAAAAGCTACCAGCAAGGGTTTCTTATTGGGGTTTTAGGTAGGTGAGGGGGAGCATGTGGCTAATGTTTACAATTGGTCATTCTAGCTTCTCAATGCTCCTGCCAGATGCTTAGCCAGGCAGGCGCTGACAGCAAGCTACTCTCTTATCAGTGGTCCTTCTGCTGTTCTGTAAGGCAAGCTCAGAAACTTTGGTTTCTTTGTTTTCCATCTTAACCTTGCGGGTACAAAATACAGTTTCACTCTAATCCGGGGAAATTTTAACCTCCTCATCTTCCGTTTCACCAGCAATAGGGCTTGTCACCCGCGTGGCTGCTTTGGTGGTGAATGAGGTCAGGGAAGTAGGCTGCAGTCAGTCCGCACTCCCGGCACTCGAGGGCTTTGGGAATTGCAGAACAGTTGATTCTGGCAGGAGATTCTTCCTCCCCAGGGCCAGAGCCTGAGCTACATAGCTATTGCAGGCCTAGCAACATTTCCCGGTCGGCTGGCTGCCCCGGCCACACCAGGAAGGGCCGCTCAGGTGGAACAACTCCACAATCGAGGGCAGACCTCGGGGATCCCTGGGATCCTGACGTCCAGTTCCCCCACGGCTCCGCCCGGTCTGAGCACTCCCGCGCTGGCGCCGCCAACTCAATCGCGGTGAAGTGCGCCTGGTTTCCTAGACGCCAGCCACTTAGCTGACAAGCCGAGGGACAGCAGGAGACACTCGGGACCCAAGCATCCAGCACCGGAAACGGAAATATCCACTAGCCCGTGCCCCTCTAGGAAGTGGCAGCGAACAGTCTCGGTAGGTTTAACCCTCTCATTCACCTGGCCAGCAGGAGCTCCCTATCTGCGGCTATTGTCAGGAACTTGATACTTTCGACCTGGCTCCGGGTTCTGAGTCCGTCAGCGCGGTCTTCGGTGACCTGGCCACCGCTGGGGGACGGCGAAGCGAGCCTGAAGGAAAAGGCGGTCGCTGCCGAGGACACGCTGGGGACAGAGTACCCAAGTTACCCGGAGCAGCACGGTACTGAGACTTCATGGTCGGATGTCTGTGTTCTCCAAAGGCACGAGCCCATTCCGAGTACCCTGGGAGTTTCTGACCCATCCTAAGCTAGGCGTGTTAGGCTTGGCGTGGACTATATATCCCAGCATGCTTCGCACGCGCCTCCTGGGCTCGCACAGCGATTAGATAACCACTACTCATGACGTGCTTTCTGCAACCATGCAAAAGTCGGAGCACCAGCATCGAGAACTACAACTTCCGACTTGCATAATAACTGCGGTGGCACCATTCAAAATGCGTCAGAGAGGAGGAGCCTGGCCACGCCCCTCTCTTCCAGTTCCGCTCCCCTGGATGAGCGGCGAGAAGTGGGGCGGAGCCTTAGGCCTGAGCCAAGATGGCGGCTGCGAAACCAACCCCTACGGACTCGCTCTCGTTCTGCCTCGCGCAGCTCACGGCGGCCGCTGGGGAGGGCGTAGGTGGGGGAAAGGACACAGCTACAAACGAGACACCCTTGGGCCGTGCGCTCTTAGCCCTCCGCACGCGCCACGTCAAGGCAGCGGGGGGAATCGAGCGCTTCCGGGCACGCGGCGGGCTCCGCCCCCTTCTCGCGCTGCTACGGCGAGCGGCTGCCGCGGGTCCCGCCCTATCCCAGGCCGGCCCCGGCTCCGCCCCCTCATCGGTCGAGTCAGCGGCTTCTGCTGCCCCCGCCCCCTCGTCGGGCCCTGCCCCCTCCGCTGCGTCGCCGTCGACGCCTTCGCCGCCAGCGCGCCTGCGCAAGACCCTGGACTTGGCGCTCAGCATCCTAGCCAACTGTTGTACGGAGGGGGCGTGCCGGGCTGAAGTGCGCAGACTCGGAGGCATTGGCCCTTTGGGTAAGTGCTCCGCCCTCATTTCCTAGAAGGATCCCACGCGCTGCTCGCTGCTTGTGTGGGCTTGGGCGGTGTCTTGAGTTCTTTGTGTCGTAGCCTGGGAGAACTTGTGCTTTATGACGGCACAGCGCCCCGCCACCTCTGGAGCCGTCACAACCTGTGACGTTGCTGTTTTCTTTATAGATTATTCCCGAGCCTTCCCAGATCAGATAATTAGTCATTTCTTGGGTATTGTTTGTCGGGCATCTCCCTCACAAAGGGTTATTTGGTGACTTTTAGATGACTCTTACCCGTGTGTCCGGTCCTGTGCAGGGCTCCCATTTGATGAGCTGGAGGTGAGAAGGTGTTCAGAAGTGAGAAGGTTCAGAAAGTGGGCCGTGCAGTCACACCCCTCTGAGGCTAGGAATCTTTGTAAAAACGGATAATAATAGCTACCTCGCAAAGTTGGAGTAGGGAGAAAATAAAATACAAATATAGGACGCAACCTAAGCAGGGACTGGGTACTTGGAATTATTTAAAACTAGCACCATAAGAACAAATCCTAACAAAAGATAGCAAGCTTTTCTGTTTACCAGCTAAAGTGGCGCCTCCTAGTGGCAACGTTGTGAACACAGTTTACACATCGTTGCCTGCCAGTTGTGAAGTTATGCCAGTTTTGACGAAATCTTAATCTTTTGGATAAAATCAAACATTAATGTATTTTTCATTTCCATAAAATGCCTCTGGACCGTAATGTTTTTGACAAAAGGCTTGGCACATTAGTAAGTCCTTAGTAAATTATAGGTTTTCTTATTAGTTTATAACCCCTATCATTCAGTCACCATTCTGCAATTTAAATCTCTCTTGAATCCATCCACTTATATCCCTTCTTCCATCATGTGCCCAGAGACTGGTACCCATGTGCTGAGCTGTGCTGGTAGCTGACTTGGTTCAAGCCCTTGTCCTTTCTCACCTGGACTATTGCAACAGCCTCCTTGCTGCTTCCCCTGCCTTATTCTTTTCCCCTATCATCCATGCTTTCCATAACTGCCAGATTGTATCACATCACTCCCATTCTTAAAACCCTGTGTGTCTCTCAGTGCCTTCACGTTCAAGTCCTGACCCCTTCACGTTCAAGCATTTGAGGCCCTTCATGAGGTCATAGCACAGACAATGGATCTCACCTCTGGGCCTTTTCAAAGGCTGCTACCAAACCTGAAATGCCCTGTAGTACCTCCGTCCACCATCCTTCTAGTAAATACCCACATATTTAGCCTTCCAGACCCAGCAAGCCTCTTCTGGAGGCCTTGCCTGACCCCCTCAGGCCACATTCTTGAGGTGATTAATGAGAGGGACAAGAAGGGTAGAATCCTCAAGAGGCCAAACTTCCTTGCAGTGACTATTCTTCAGTGTGTGAAGACAGACAGCATCCAGAACCGAACAGCTCGTGCTCTGGGGAACTTAGCCATGGAACCTGAGAGCTGTGGGGACATTCATTCTGCTGGTGAGAAGGCCATGAGGGTGAGGGTGGAGTTAGCTAGGTCTTGGGGTGGGGGCGGGGCTTGGGTGTGTGTCCTCACTCACTCTGTCTTCCCCTTCCCTCTCCAGGTGCTGTTCCCCTGCTCGTTGAGAGCCTGACAGCCTGCCAGGACTCCCAGTGCCTGCAGAGTGTGGTTCGCGCCCTCCGCAACCTGGCAGACTCACCCCAGCACCGCCTGGCCCTGGCACAGCAGGGAGCAGTGCGCCCGCTGGCTGAGCTTCTGGCTGCTGCCCCAGACCCTGCGCTGACCTTGGCCCTAGTCCGTGCCCTCCTGGAGCTGAGTCGAGGCTGCTCCCGGGCCTGTGCTGAGCAGCTAAGTCTGGGTGGGGGACTAGGCCCACTGGTCAGCCTGGCCTCCCACCCCAAAAGGGCGGTACGGGAGGCAACTATCCTGATCCTTGCCAACCTGTGTGCCCAGGGCCTGGTACGGCCTGCACTGGGCAATGCTGGTGGTGTGGAAGTGCTACTGGGTGAGCTCCGGCGGCGCCGGGGCTCCACTGGGGCTAGCCCAGCCTCTCAGCAGCCCTTGGTGCGGGCTGTGTGTCTGCTGTGCCGGGAGGCCATCAACCGGGCCCGGCTGCGGGACGCTGGTGGTTTGGAGCTGCTGATGGGCCTGCTGCGGGACCCTCGTGCCAGCGCCTGGCACCCTCGTGTCGTGGCCGCCCTCGTGGGCTTCCTCTATGATACTGGGGCCCTAGGTCGGCTACAGGCTCTGGGACTTGTACCTCTCTTGGCTGGGCAGCTCTGTGGTGAGGCTGGTGATGAGGAAGAAGAGGGAAGAGAAGCTGCTTCCTGGGACTTTCCTGAGGAGCGGACCCCTGAGCGGGCAGAGGCGGGAAGCTTCCGAAGCCTCAGGTGCGTCCCCACCTGATGCTGTGGGCTGGGGTTTATGTCTGCGCCAGCCCTCTTCACTACCCTCACCCTCATTCTGTCTCAGTAAGACTTTGATTGGCTCTGACTCCTGATTTCTTGTTCTCCCCAGACCTGACCATCTTGTAGTCCCCATTAAACACACCTCCTCTCCCCTGGGTCTACCCCAGCACCTCTGAACTTTGAGACCCAGACAGGTTCACTGGAATGTGGTATGGGCACTAGTTATGATGGTATGCTCTGGAGTCTCAGTTCTTGTTCTGCTACCACCTACAAGCTGAGTCATCATGGGAAAGTTAATTAACTTCTCTGAGCTTCTTATTCCTTCTGTATAAAATGGAGGCTAATAATACATACCTACTCGATAGAGTCGTAAAGATTAAATGAGGGTACTTTACACCTCACCTTGGCACTAAGCAGTGCTCAATAAATGTCAGCCTTCCTGTGAACTCTCTGACTTCATCTCCTACCACTCTCCCTGGCGCCCACTATACTCTTGCACGTGGGCCTCCCAGCTAGTTTTTGAACATGACAGGTAGGTACCATCTCAGGGCCTCTTGGGTTGCTGTTCCTCTGCCTAGAGCGCTCTTCCTCCTGTGTGCCTTGATTAGATCTTACCTTCTTGGTGGAGGCCACCATTATTACCCTATTTAAAATGGCAAATCTCGCCTCTCCCAGCTCTCTTCTGTTCCCTTTTACTTTTCTCCTTAGTACCACTTCACCCCTCACTGACTCCACACTAGCATACCTTATGATTTCCTTATTGATTTTGTCTGTTTCCCCTCACCAGAGTATAAACTCTAGGAGGATGGAAATTTTTATTTTGTTCTTTGCTTCTCCTCAGCAACTAAAATGGGGGTTGGCACATAATAAGTTCAGTAATTGCTGAATGAGTTGGGGTTTTCCCCCACCTCTCTTTGCTCCCATCTCCCCTTCGGCCCACCTCCTCTCCCTGCCTTCAGTCATCTCCTTTTGCATGACCATTCTTTTGGCCCTGCTCCCTTGCTTTGGCTCTGGGTTCAGTCTCCTTTTTCTTCCCTCCCACAGGTCATGGCTGATCTCCGAGGGCTACGCTGCAGGCCCAGGAGACATCTCCCCTGACTGGTCCCCTGAGCGATGTCCACAGCCACCACCACCACCGGAAGCGGCTGAGCCAGCCAGCCCTGCCCCAGGCCCGACCTTGCTGCGGACACCTCGCACACTGCGCACACCAGGCCGCAGCCCTGCCGCTGCTGAGGAACCTTGGGGCCGTGAGGGGCCAGCGCTCCTGCTGCTGTCACGCTTCTCCCAGGCTCCTGACCCAAGTGGGGCACTGGTGACTGGTCCGGCCCTGTGTGGCCTGCTGGCTTATGTGACGGGTGCGCCGGGCCCACCGAGCCCTCGTGCACTGCGCATCCTGGCACGCCTCACATGCAACCCCGCCTGCCTTGAGGCCTTTGTGCGCAGCTATGGTGCAGCACTACTGCGCGCCTGGCTCGTGCTTGGCGTTGCCCCGGACGACTGGCCTGAGCTGGGTACCCGGCCTGATCGCAGCAGCCAGCATCGGGAGCTGGGTGTGTCCCCATGCCTCTCCACCCACATGCATGGCCCCATCCCATTCTCATGCCTCCAGTGGGCTCAGAACCTGGCCTTACAGCTTACTGCCACCCGTTCTCTCACTTCCCTCCCCGTCCCACCATCCAGGCAACCTCAGCCACTGGGGGGAGGAGGATAGGGATTCCCTTTTGTTCCACCATCCCAGCATGCAGAGTTCTGCTCCATCCCCTGCCCCAGAGTTGGGGTCCAGATACCCCCGACATCAAGCTTGGCCCCAACAACTTAGAATCATGCCTGTCTGCATTTCCTTACCCAATTGATTCTTGGTTCTGCATTTTCCTGACTACTTCCCCACTGGGCACACTGACTTGTAAACTCAGGCTCAGGTACCATGTCTTCCCCAAGACACCACCATTTCTAACACTGCTAGGGACTGCCCTGTTTTCTGTGCCCTGTTTCAGTCCTTCAAGGCCCAGACTCACTCCCTGACCATCCCAGTTCCTGTTCTTGCCCTTCACCTCCAGTTCCTAGCATCCACACTCCATCCCTCCAAGGGCCTGCAGTCATCACCTTCTTCCATACTGTGATTTCTTGCCCTGAGGTTTTACCCTCCTTCCTTTCAGGGGCCCAGAGGCCTGTCTTGCTCATCTAACCCCAGTCTTGGACACTAGCTCCCAACCTGACCTGTTATGCCCATCCCTGCAGGTGAGATGCTGCTGCAGAACCTGACCGTTCAGGCCGAATCGCCCTTTGGAGTGGGTGCCCTCACTCACCTGCTGCTCTCTGGGAGCCCTGAGGACCGTGTGGCCTGCGCACTGACCCTGCCCTTCATCTGTCGGTAAGGGGGATGTGGGTGTCTTGCAGGGGTCAGGGGAGCAAGGTTGCTGTTTCCTGGTCCTACCCTTTTCTACCTTCTCAAAGATTCTCTTTCTCCCCAAAGGAAGCCCTCTCTGTGGCGCCGGCTACTTCTGGACCAGGGCGGCCTCCGTCTCCTCCTCTCAGCACTAACTCGGCCAGCTCCGCATCCACTCTTTCTCTTCTTTGCTGCGGACTCCCTTTCCTGCCTCCAAGGCTTGGTATCCCCCACTGTGAGCCCAGCCCTCCCTCCTGCAGTCCCCTTAGACCTAGGCCCACCCTCCCCTTGCCTCTATGAACCTTTGCTGGGCCCAGCCCCCATCCCAGCCCCTGACCTACACTTCCTACTGGACTCAGGCCTACAGCTCCCTGCCCAGCGAGCTGCCTCAGCTACTGCCTCCCCTTTCTTCCGGGCGCTGCTAGCTGGCAGTTTTGCAGAAGCCCAGATGGACCTCGTCCCACTTCGAGGCCTGTCACCCAGCGCGGCCTGGCCTATCCTGCATCACTTGCATGGCTGCCGGGGCTGTGGAGCTGCCCTAGGGCCCATTCCCCCACCGGGCCAGCCCCTGCTAGGCTCAGGGGCTGAGGAGGCACTGGAGGCTGCTGGCCGTTTCCTGTTGCCTGGGCTGGAGGAGGAGCTGGAAGAGGCTGTGGGCCGTATCCACTTAGGACCCCAGGGTGGACCAGAGTCAGTGGGTGAAGTATTTCGCTTGGGCCGGCCCCGGCTGGCTGCCCACTGTGCCCGCTGGACGCTGGGGCCGGGGCAGTGCCCTCGGAAGAGGGCCCTGGCCCTAGTGGGGCTTGTGGAGGCAGCAGGTGAGGAGGCAGGGCCCCTGACTGAGGCTTTACTGGCTGTGGTGATGGGGGTTGAATTAGGAGCAAAGGTCCCACCCTAGGCTGTTGATGTTCACCGGGAGGGGACCCAAGGATGAGCTGGCTATGAAGGAGGCCTCCCTCAGAGTAGCATGAGAGAAGGCTGAACAGAAGGAGTCACCATCGAGGACCGATGAGAGGATGGAACTAGACTCCAGGATGATGGTCTGAAGACTCAGGAGTGAGAAGCCAAAGCCAGAGTCTGGGGCCATGAGATGGAGAACAGCCCAGGGCTCCAGGCACCTGGCCTGGGCCAGCCTTCTGGAGTTGGGATTAAAAACTTTGGAGTTGGATTGTGTGGTGTCTCTGCTTACTTTCCTGTGGAAGTCCCCTCACCCCTTCATCCATCAAGCAGGTCTTATCCAGGTCTCTGTGTCCCAATATAGGCCACCCTTGGCATGTAGGAGTTTAATAAGTAATTATGCAGTGCTTCCTGGAGACCCAGGGTAGAGTAGAGTTCTCAGGCTTCTCCCTAGGATGTGGTTTTGGGCCCCAGGGGAAGCCTGCTTCCTGCCCACACAACTTCATTGCTCACACAGCCACCCCACTGGACACATAGACCTTGGTCAGGGCTGAAAGAATGTGCTGAGAGGATGCTATGAGTGTGGAGATGTATGTCCAGGGCCTTGGCATTACTGTTTTCTGAGTGCCCTTCACCCATCTTGGGCCTTCAGTCTCTGGTTCACTTTTCATCTCTTGGGACCAAGTGTCCTGCTGTTTTCCTGAGGGAAGACCTGCTGTGTTCCTAGAGTCCCTGAGGCCCATCTTAGTTCTGCCCAGACAGAGCGAAGGCCCTGGGCTGGCATTCAGGTGAAGGAAGGGCTCATCTTGCTTTGGTCTCCAAGGCAGGGTCTCTATCACCTGGCTCCCAGATCACTGACCACTCAGGTGGCAGGCTGACTTTGAGGAGAGTGCCTAGACTGGGCCTGCCAGTTAGCTTCTAGGGCGCTAATGTTGACACTTGTCTCTGTGCCTCTGTGAGTCCAGGTCTCTGTTCTTAGGTTGTGTATTAGAACCACCTAGAGAGCTTTTAAAAAATAAACTGATGCCTGGGCCCTTTCTGATTGAAGTGAACTGAGGGGAAGGTACCCTGCATCAGTGTTTTTAAAAAGCTCTCCAGATTGTTCTGATTTGCTGCTGGGTTGAGACCCTCATTCCAGTACTCATATCTGGACTCAGGTCTGGGTTGAGACTCAGTCCAGTGGCTGCAGCACTATGGTGTCTGTCCATACCTATCTCTAGAGTATCTTGTTTCTACCTTGATTTCTCAGTGTCTCAGCCCAGGGCAGGCCTCTTGTTCCTCTGTGATTGGAGTCTGTGTCTTGCTTCCTTCCCTGTGTTCATCAGTATCTTGAGACAATGCTCTTTTCGAATGGGTCTGGGTTGCCTTACTGTTGAGGAAGGGTTTTGTCTTGAAGGCTGGCTGGGGTCTGGCTGCCTGGGAGTGTTTTCTGAGCCTGCACAGGGCTTGGGCCTGGGTTTCGGTTTATCTGTGTCTGTATGTCTGTTTCCAAGTCCTGGAGAGAACGTCCTGGCTTAGAGTCTGTGGGAGGGTTCATTGTGTCCGTCTCCATCTCAGAGATTCTTTAGTATTGTGTTTTTTGGGATCTCTGTTCATGTACTTGTCTGTCAGGGTCTTTAAGGAAAGTTCTCTGAACCTGGGGTCTGACTGATCTTTAGAACATCACTCCTGCCTCCAACCCAAAAATTCTGCCTGGGGCAAGTCTCTCAGGATGGGCCTGGGTGGGAGGAGGGCTCTGTCTAGAACTCAGGGTGCTAGATTTGGGAGGTGTCTGCTTGGGGGCCTCAGTCTGTGTCTAAGAGTCTCACTGGGCAGAGGATCCTGGGCTTAGTCTGGAAGAGCCACTTCTCTGGCTGGCTCGGGCTGCCTGGGGCTCCCTGCAGCTGAAGCCAGGGCTGGGGTGTGGCCGCCTCCGCGGCAGGCAGGCAGGCTGGGCCGTGGCCTTCCCTCCTTACACGCCCCCACCCCGGGTTCTCCCGTTCTTTGCTCCCCCCGCACCCCCCCCCCCCCAGCCCCATCCCAGCGGGTCCCGGCTTCCTTACATGGTCACGGCCAGGCCTCCAGCTCCCGGACGTCCCCCGCCCCCCGCCCCCACCGGACACGGCCCCCGCCCTGCTCTGCTCGCCCCACGCGATCCGCCCGCGCCCCGCCATGGAGGACCTGGGTGAGTGGGGCCCGGGTCCCCTTGTCCCCAGCCCCTCATCACCGCCTGCCAACTCCCTTCCCCATCCTGGAGCCCCCTCGCACTCCCCATCCCTGCCTCCTGTCTCCTTGCTTCTCTGCCCGCGCCTCCTTTTCGACTCCACGTCCCCCTTCCTGCCTCTCCCTTCCTGCCTTTCCCGGGCCGGCCGCTCCCTCCCTTCTTCCCTCACTCCGCTCCTCCGTCACTGGCTGCGGACGGGATGGGCAGGGAGATGCAGTGCCTGTGGGCTCCTGGGCTCATCCGCTCTGGGAAGGGAGGGGTTAAAGGGGTCTTGGGTTCAGGGACTGGAAAAGTAGACGGGAAGGGAGAATGTGACATCAAGTTCTGAAGAAGAAAACAGGCCTGCCCCAGAGTTTTGGGAAGGAGTTAAGGGCCCCTAAGTATGGTAGGGGTCAGGTCTTTGGGGCAGAAAGGGAATAATAGGTGGGGAGGGCCAAGATGCTGGGGAGTTAAGGGTTCCACCATGGTGCTGAGACATGAGGAGTAAAGGGGTAGGGAGTTCTAGGTTCTGGAAGGGACAGGGTTCAACGGATCCAGATCTGGGGACGGGGCGGGTGTCTTCCGGCAGGAAGGAGGACCCACTCATCACATCTTCCCTGTGTGTTGGGACTGGGGCTAGAAGGCTGAGCCTCCATGGGACAGAAGGTGTTCCAGCACCCTGCAGTAGGGGGTGCTGCTCAGTAGGGGTAACGGGCACCGGTACTGTGAAGAATAAGCCAATCAGAAAGCAGGTCCCAGAAGACTCACCAATAAGGTGCATAGGGTGGGACCAAGTGTGGCCTGGAGGTGGGCCAGGACTGTGCCGGCCTATTTAGGTTGGGTGCCAGGCATACAGCCAATTGAGCAATTTGGGGTAGAGCCAAATTTGGCTGGAGTAAAGAGAATTTTGACTGCATTAGGGAAGATTCCGGGAATAAAAGAAAGAGGAGGCTGAGGTGAGCCATTTGGGATGTTCTGTTCATAAATATTGGTTGCTGCCCTTCCACTTCTCCGACTTGGTCAGGCCTTGTGTTTCCTTCTGATTCTTGACCTCTACTTTTAATTCTGGCTTTGGTCCTCCTCAGATACACCCACTTGGAACCCTTAGCCTTTGATCTCTTAAGGCTCTGTATCTGCCCTAACCTTGACCTCTCAACCTCTCATCCTGACGGCCTCTCCCTGCAGATGCCCTGCTCTCTGACCTGGAGACTACCACCTCACACATGCCAAGGTCAGGAGCTCCAAAAGAGCGGCCCCCAGAGCCCCTCAAGTCTCCCTTGCCCTATGGCCACCAGCCACAGGTGAGATCAGATGCTGAGGGCAGGGGCAACCATGAGGGCCAGGCTGGGCCAGGGCTAGGGGGATCTGGGCCTGAGTGGGGCAAAGTACAGGCCTATCATCCCACACACGTGTCCTTCTCTTTGTAGATGGGGTCTGGAGAGTCTTCAGGAGCCTCTGGAGACAAGGACCATCTGTACAGGTGAGGGGCCTGGGAAGTGGGGATGGGAAAGCCAACTGAAACTCAGAGGAGGCTTGGATTCCCCACCCCTGAACCCAGGCTCCTACCCTGTTTCCCAGTACGGTATGCAAGCCTCGGTCCCCGAAGCCTGCAGCCCCTGCGGCCCCTCCGTTCTCCTCTTCCAGCGGTGTCTTGGGCACAGGGCTCTGTGAGCTAGACCGACTGCTTCAGGAACTTAATGCTACTCAGTTCAACATCACAGGTACCAGGGTTACTGACACGGGCCCTGATGGGATGGGGGCAGGGCAAGGCAGGGCAGAGACTAAGGGCTATAGACTTCGCAGAGTAGCAGCTAAAGGGACACAAGCCTTAACTGGGGGGGGGGGGGGGGGGGGGGGGGGGGCGGGGTAGAGCCTGGCCTCACATCCAGTGCCCTTCTCTCCTCTCTGCAGATGAAATAATGTCTCAGTTCCCATCTAGCAAGGAGGCTGCAGAGGAGCAGAAGGAGGACCAATCTGATGACAAGAAAAGGCCCAGCCTGTGAGTTTAGTATAGTGGCAGCACTGGGAGAGAGGCGATCAGTCTTGGATGCCTGAGTTACTGGAGGGAGTATTACTCTAGGAGGCTCTGAGCTGACACGAGTTTTATTCTTCACAGCCCTCCCAGCCCATCCCCTCTTCTCCCAAAGGCTTCGGCTACCTCGGCCACTCTGGAGCTGGATAGACTGATGGCCTCACTCTCTGACTTCCGGGTCCAGAACCACGTGAGTCAAGTCAGGCAGGGGGGTGGGCCAGTGTGGATTTGTGGCTTCCCAATCCATCTTAGACCCTTCCACCTCTGCTGCCTTGCTGATTCAACTCTCATGTCCTCCCTGCTGCAGCTTTCAGCCTCTGGGCCAACCCAGCCAACAGTGCCAAGCTCCGTGAATGAGGGCTCCCAATCCCCACCAGGGCCAACTAGCAAGGGCAGCCTAGACACCATGCTGGGGCTGCTGCAGTCGGACCTCAGCCGCCGTGGCGTTCCCACCCAGGCCAAGGGCCTCTGTGGCTCCTGCAATAAACCCATTGCTGGGCAAGTAAGTGGAGCCCTGAGAGTAGGGAGGTAGAGACTCATGGACCCATCTTTATTGAAAGCTAGCCTTTGTGCTGTTCCCTTTTAATAAATAACTCTGGGAAGAGGGTATTATTGTTATTTATAGTTTATGGATGGGGAAACTGAAGTTCTGAGTTACACAGCAATAAGTAGCAGGGTGAGAATTCCAACCCAGTTCCCATTTATTGCGGTCTTACTGTGTGCAGGCACTGTGCTAGCTCCTTTACAAACCCCCATCTCATTTAATCTTCACAAAAGCCTCACTGGCGCTGCCCACCATCTCTCAGGCACCCACACAGACCATTTCTCCTCCACCAGAGTCTGGTCTGGGAGCTCTGGCTTTTGGCTTATTGACTAAGCAGATGTTATTGACAACAGGCATGCTCAGTGGTTGATCTAGATCCTCTTGCTAGATAAAGTGCCTGCTCCTATCCCAGAATTTCCAAGCTCATCAAAGCAGAGTGGCCTTATGACTTTTGTGGGCTATAGGTACTTTTGCCTTCATGGATCCCTTCCTCCATTATAAAAAAATACTAAAAATTGTGAATTATGACTGTATTGGTGTAAAGATGAATATATTATTAAATAGTAAATCATTTTCTTCTAGCTCATTTTTTCCTTCTGATTTTAAAAGAAATTACATTTTCCTGGGTTCCTAAAAGTATTGTGGGCCTTAGGCACTTATACACTGACTTGATTATTAGATTCTTCATCCTGATCTCTCAGAGAGATAAGACTTGGGTAGGGAGGTGGGAGAAATGGGTAAAGAGGGTCAAAAGGTAAAAAGAAAAAAAAAAGACTTGAAATGTGCCTTGTAAACCTTAGGTCACTGGGCACATGGCAGCTTGAGGGCCACTCTGACCCTGGGCCTCACTCCAAACTCGCAGGTGGTGACGGCGCTGGGCCGCGCTTGGCACCCTGAGCACTTCGTTTGCGGTGGCTGTTCCCTGGCCCTGGGAGGCAGCAGCTTCTTCGAGAAGGATGGAGCCCCCTTCTGCCCCGAGTGCTACTTTGAGCGCTTCTCCCCACGATGTGGCCTCTGCAATCAACCCATCAGACACGTGAGCCCTGCCGGCCCACAAGCCCCACCTCTGTCTCACTGTGGGATGGGCCTCATCCACTCACAGCCCCCCATCCCTCCCCAGCCCTGCCCCTTGGCCTCTCCGTGGCCTTTTGGACTCCACCTCTCCCTTTTACTCCCAGGTTCCTTGTGAGATCTCCAGGGCCTTAAACTCATACTTCAACCCACTCACCTAGGTTCAGGGAGGGAGAGGGAGGGAAGAAGCGATGGAGGGCCACACTGAGTGTCTCCTTTCGTTCTCCATAGAAGATGGTTACTGCCTTGGGCACTCACTGGCACCCGGAGCACTTCTGCTGCGTCAGTTGCGGGGAGCCCTTCGGAGATGAGGGTGAGAGCTTGAAAGCCGCCAGTCTACTCGACATCCCGCCCCGTCCCCTTTGGCCCAGCCCTCTACGACCTCCGAAGCCCTCTGGGCCGGGAATTTTCTCCTGCTTTCTTCTGGCCCCACCCTCTCCCTGTCATGGGTTCCTATCCCATCCCCTCCCGCTCTGCCCCTACTCCAGGCACTGTCCCTCACTACCTACTGCTCACGCTGACTGCCCCTCCTCTGGCCCCACAGTCTCAGCTCTTGTAGGTCCTCGGTGGGACCTCGCACTCTTTTCTTTCCGCCCACTCGGTTCCCGCCTCTAGGTTTTCACGAGCGCGAGGGCCGCCCCTACTGCCGCCGGGACTTCCTGCAGCTGTTCGCCCCGCGCTGCCAGGGCTGCCAGAGCCCCATTCTGGATAACTACATCTCGGCTCTCAGCGCGCTCTGGCACCCAGACTGTTTCGTCTGCAGGGTGCGCTGCGGTGGGGGCGGAGCCTGGGAGGGGTGGGCCAACGGGGGGCGGAAGTAGGAGGCTGGGGCGGGGCGATTATTCAGGGTAGGGGGCTCCTGGAGGCGAGGCTTCGCGTCTGGGTGGGGTTGCGGGGGGTCACAGTGGGCTATTCAGCTCGTAAAGTTAGTTATCTGGTCCGGGGTTTGGCCGCTGACCCATCCTTTCGCGGCCGACCTTCCCCAGGAATGCTTTGCGCCCTTCTCGGGAGGCAGCTTTTTCGAGCACGAGGGCCGCCCGCTGTGCGAGAACCATTTCCACGCGCGGCGCGGTTCGCTGTGCGCCACGTGTGGCCTCCCGGTGACCGGCCGTTGCGTGTCGGCCCTGGGCCGCCGCTTCCACCCGGACCACTTCACCTGCACCTTTTGCCTGCGCCCGCTCACCAAGGGCTCCTTCCAGGAGCGCGCCGGCAAGCCCTACTGCCAGCCCTGCTTCCTCAAGCTCTTCGGCTGACCACGCCCCTTTGGGAGACCAAGGCCCCAAAGGCCCCGCCCTTCCCGAAAAGACCCTGTTCTCCAGACCCCGAGGCCTTGCTCTTTGAGCTTGGGATTCTCTCCGACCGGGCTGTTTAAGGCCCTACCCACTGGAGAGACCCGCCCCTAAGGTACGGTACTATACGTTCTCCGTGGGAAACTTCAGAAAAGGCCAGGCCAATCCCAAGGCCACATGCCCCCAAAGTGGGTCGTAGTCTGACGAGCGATGCCGCCTGAGCTCTTCACTTTATTCCCCCTGTTGAGGGAGCCTCCCTACTGGAGGAGGACCCTTGCAATTCCGACCAATCAGAGGCCAGGCCAGGACGTCCCTCTCTCCACTCCCTCACTGTTCTTTGCACTTTTTTCTACCTACATAAAATACATTCCACGTCACACTGGTGCTGTGTCTTTGACTGTGCGAGTCAGCCTTGCGTCGGGACGCCCTGCTCCTTGTGCTGGCTCTGGCCTTGGTGGGATCTGGGCCACCACTGTGTGGCCAGAACCGGACCTGCAGCCTCAGCCCTTGCAGGATGTCCTTCACATATCAGATGAGCCTGAGGTTGGAAAGGGCAGCGACCTGCACAGGGTTGTACAGATAGTGGGGAGCCAGGACAGGAGCTCAAGCTGGGCCCCTCTGAACCTTCTTGTCCCCAGTCCCCTCACTTTGCATCTGGGCACTAAGGCACAGCTTCCTTCTTACTAGTATTGACTCATAACATCTCCCCTAGGCAGAGGATGACACTCGCGGTGGTCAAGGGAGTGAGTGAGGGAAGCACTGGGGCTGTAGGAGCCAGAAAGAGGCTTCTAACTTAGATTGGGAGTCAAGGAAGCCTTTCTGGAGGATGTGACACCTGAGCTAAGCCCTAGCAGAGAAGGGTGGGACCAGGAGGTTTTAGGTGTGGAGAAATTCAGGCTCCATGTGAATCCACAAGCCCCAGGGGCCTTTCTGAGTCCCAGAACATTCACCTTGGACTGTGCAGTTCCCTAGGGAGGGGACCTGGATTCCTGGATCCAAAACATATGGGCTCTTGAGGCTGGAAATGATGGAACCTCAGAGGCCCTTCCAGCCTGAGGAGGAGCTGGCAGCCAAGGAGAGCATAAGTGGGCAAGAGACAAAGGTGAGGTGTTCTCTGCCCTTGCCTCAGGCTGACCCCCGGATCCTTTCCTCTCTGAGGCTCCTTCCCCTGGGTCTTCCCAGGCCTCCTGCTCTTCCCTTTCCTCATATTCTCCCTGGGCAATGCTGTCCATCCCCTTGCTTGTAACCACCTCCCTGTCTTGAGGATGCCCAAATTGGCCATCTCCAATCTTGGTTCATTCATTCACCAAGTGTTTCTTTCTCTTTTTTTTAAAGATTGGCACCTGAGCTAACAACTGTTGCCAATCTTTTTTTTTCTTTTTTCCTGCTTCTTCTCCCCAAATCCCCCCAGCACATAGTTGTATATTTTAGTTGTGGACCCTTCTAGTTGTGGCATGTGGGATGCTGCCTCACTGTGGCCTGATGAGCGGTGCCATGTCCGCACCCAGGATCCGAACCGGCGAAACCCTGGGCCGCCAAAGCGGAGCACGTGAACTTAACCACTCGGCCACGGGGCCAGCCCCCCACCAAGTGTTTCTTGAGCAGGCACTGTGGCAGGCTCCATGCCAGGTGCTGGGGAGACCATAGGGAACCAAGCAGACATGCTTCTTTCCCTCATGGAGCTGAAGACTAGTAGGGGAAACAGATGACAAAATGTGATGAAGTGACGTGTGATGAAGTAATGGCCTAGCTAAAGCTGGCTCTTCCCCTTTGTTTCCACCCACAACACCTCCCCTGTCTCTTCATAGCACTTATTAGTACTGCAAATGGGGGTTTATTTGTTGCTTGTTTATGTCTATTTCTGAAACTGGAATGCAAGCTCCGGAGTGCTAGTTTGTCCCATGACATGCTTGTTTTGCTGATCATTGTCTGTCCAGTGTCTAGAGTGGTGTCTAGCATGTGGCAGGTGCTTAATAAATGTTTGTTAATGAAGGAAGGAATGAGGAAGAAAGGAAAGACGGGAAGGCAAGAAGGAAAAAAATAGAGTTAATAAGTTAGAGAAGGTGAGGAAGGGGTTACTTTAACCAGATAGTCAGAGAAGGCCTCTGGGAAAATGTAGTGTCTAAGCTGAGACTTGAAGGTAGAGAAAGAGCCAGCCAGGCAAAGAGCTTGAGGAGAGCATTCCAGGCAGAGGAAACAGCAAATACAAAGGCCAGGAAGTAGGAAAGAGCTTGGCATATTGGAAGAAAGGACAGAAGGCCAGTGTGGCAAGGGGGAGAATAGTGGGAGATAAGGTTGAAGAAGAAACAGGTGCCACATCATGAAGCGTTTTGTAGGCCATGGTGAGGGCATACAGATTTTATTATAAGTGCCTATAACCCTAATGTGTCCTCTGATACTTGCCCCGGGATTTCTCTCAGGCACTTCAAGTTTGTCACCCCCTGAAGCAGACACTGTGCATGCCCTGCCCATATATGCTTAGCCCACCTGGGAAATCTTGTGTAGACAGTTCCCAGACAGCCAGTCTCCCCAGCTGCTTCCTGAGTTTCTGAGGGTGGTATCTGGAGGAAGGAGTATGCCCCTGTACCCAGCAGGCCTGAAGTGGGTGGGAAAGGTTTTGTAACCTCCAACCAGTTAGAGACAGCAACTGGTGCATAAATACCCCAGCTTCCTTGCCCCTTGGAGGTCAGTTCTGAGGTGGGTTCTCCACAGTGTTTCAGAGGGTCCCCATGGGGATTGGGTTCCAGTTGTTCAGAGTGGTAACCTGTTAATCAACACACCCTTTATTGGCTTTTCTCCTTTCTTTGTCCCACTTCCCCCTTCCTTTATGGTCATTACTGGGATCACCTTCCCCAGTAAAACACTTATACCCCAATTCTCCTTAAACATGATTCATCATATTCTCCTAAGACACTGTTCTCTGTTCCCCATCTTGGACATGAATCCAATTGCCATAATCAGACATCCAAGTCTGGTGAATACTTCTAGAAAGGCAGAGGTCAGATATTCATCAACCTCCTCGCTCTTGTATCCAGCCCTGTGCTGAGCAATGGAACTCCAGGGATGAATTAGATCGTTCCCTCCTCTTGAGGAGTCTTTGGTCTGCTGGGGAGATGACCCGCACCCAGGCAAGGACCACACAATATGCTCAGAACTGTATCAGAAAAGTCAGAGAAGTCTTTCCTGAAGAGATGACATGGGCTGGGTATTGAAGGCTGAGTAGTAATGGGCCATTTGGGAGGCACTCTAAGCAGAAGGCACAGCTTATGCAAAAGTTTGGGGGTATGAAAATATATGGGATGGGCAGGGCAAGGACATGGGAAGGAAATGTGGTTTCACTGGGTTTGGTGTGGAATAGCAAGGGGAAGGATGGGCAGGAGTCGGGGCCTGGCAGGCCTTGAACATCACGCTGAGGAGCTTCTACTTCCTCCTGAGTGTGATGGGGAGCTATGGAGGGTTTCTGAGCAGGGGAGCGACACTGTCAGATTTGAGGTTGAAAATGATCGCTCTGGATTAGTCAGAACCAGGGGGCTGGCTCAGCCAGGCTCCCTAGGTCAAGGCTGAAGTTTAGGCATTTTAAGGGGATGAAAGAAGTGATTTTTGAGGCTGGGGCACCAGGGAAAGGGTGGGGGCTAACACCAAGAAAGAGTGCTCCTGAACTTGAAAGGGTCCAGTTCCCCAGGATCAGCCTTTGGCCCTGATGTGAACTGATTCAGCTAAACAAAGCTGGGGCGGGGCGACAAGGCCTGGGGGACTTGTCAGCTCAGTGCCCCTGAGGTAACCATTAATCCCTCCCCCGGGGAAATCCAGAGCTGGTCCCTTGAGGAGCAGATCCTGGGCAGAATGGAGGAACACACAGAGGCAGGCTCAGCAGTAGGGCTGGGGGACCAGAAGGTCCTAATTGACAACCCTGCTGATATTCTAGTCCTTGCTGCTTATTTCCTGCTGGTCGTTGGTGTTGGCTTATGGGTAAGAAGTCGAGGTGGTGCTCCTAGAGACCAGGCTTCTTCGGGCCTGGGGGGAAAGTCTCAGGGAGACCCAGGCAGTTCCAGGGGCAAGACGTCTGGATATTTGAGGGAGAAACCCAGGGCGGTGGGGGGGGGGGGGGGAGGCAAGAAAGTCTTTTGATAGCCTCAGGGAGGCCTAGCCAATACTCATTCCTCATCTTCTCAGCTTTGGACTAGGCTGCTTGATAGGCTCAGTGGATTTTCATCAGAGACAACACTTTAAATGAGGTCTCTGTTCCTCTGTCCATGTTATGGCTTACCAGATGAAGCCCATAGGCCTGATCCAAGGCCCCTAGAAAAGTCAGGCCAAATCTCCCCACACTCAGGCTTGGGTAGTTGGACATTAGGTTAGGGCCTGGGTTGCTATGGGTGCTTGGGAAGAGGTTGGGGGTGGGGTGGGGTGTGAACCATTAGGGGAGCCGAGCATTGGTTAATCTTCAGCCTGAAACAAGGCTGAGGAATGTGTTGAGGAGGCTAATGAGGTCCAAAGATGTGCCCCAAACCCAGGTCTCCCCCAACTCCTGTCCCCCAGTCCATGTGCAGAACCAACAGAGGCACTGTCGGAGGCTACTTCCTGGCGGGACGAAGCATGGTGTGGTGGCCGGTGAGAGAGGCTGGGCTATGGAGTGGGAGGAGGTCTAGAGAAGCAGCTTGGCTCACCCCCATCTCTGGCCACCCAGGTTGGGGCCTCTCTCTTTGCCAGCAACATCGGCAGTGGCCACTTTGTGGGCCTGGCGGGGACTGGTGCTGCAAGCGGCTTGGCTGTGGCTGGATTTGAGTGGAATGTGAGGCCCCCTTTGCGCCAATCACCTCCACCCTCAGTGGGAACCCCTGGAAGGGTCACACCTGGGGAGGTTCCAGGCAGAGGGGATATGAGCCCGGAGGTGGGACTTCCCAATTGGGTGGGGTTGGGCTTTGAGTGAGGGTCACATGCCCAGCTTTGGGGCAGGGGTTACATAGGAGATGACCACTTTCAGGGCAGGGGTAGTTCCTGCTCCTGACTTTCTGTGTGAGCCTGGACCAGCCACTACCCTCTGTGGCCTTGATTTACTCCTCTGAAGTGGGTGAACAGCCTCAAAGATAGTAAAGTGCTTATTCTGATGGTCTCTGAAGTCGTGGCCTGTGAGGATCTCTGGATTAAAGGCCCTTGCAGAAATGGGAAGGAAACGAAGCCCTGGAACAGAGGCTCACTTTGGAGGGTTGGAGAGATCAGGCCTTTGAGCTCAGGGCTTCCTGGAGGAGGAGGCCTCTGAGCTGAGCCTTGAGGGACAGAAGGTCTGGGTGGATGGAGAGGAGAGGGGAGGCAGCGCTGCTTGGCAGAGGCTGGGGTCAGGCTGAGGGATCTGTGCTTGGGTTTATGTACTGGGGGAAGGAGTTGGGAGGTGGGGGGGGGCATGGAGGAGGAAGATAGGGACCATCTTGGGAGGGACAGGCCAGGGGTCATGGTCTGGGAGGGCAAGGTGGACTCCAGTTAAAGGCCCAAGAAGGTGTCAAGACTCTGTTCCTTAATGACTAGGGACATTGTCTGCAGTTGTGTCCTCTGGGCCCCAGGTGCGACCTTTTCTTGGAGTAGTACATTCACGAAGAGAAGGAAGTTTCTCAGACCATTCAGGGGCGAGGGCCCGCTTACAGCAGGATCTCAGACGGGGATTCACCCTGAGCTGTTGCGCTATGCCCACAGGCGCTGTTCGTGGTGCTGCTACTCGGTTGGCTCTTCGTGCCGGTGTACCTGACCGCAGGCGTCATTACGATGCCGCAGTACCTGCGCAAGCGCTTCGGGGGCCGTCGTATCCGCCTCTACCTGTCCTTGCTCTCGCTTTTTCTGTACATCTTCACCAAGATTTCGGTGCGCAGGCGCGGTGGGCGGGGCGGGACCCTGGAAGGGCGGGACCACGGAGTAGAGGTCTCCAGAAAGCCCGGGAGGGAGCGGGATCAAAGAGAAATCACTGTAAGGATCATGGCGGGGGCAGGGCCTGGAAGGGATAGGTTTCTGGGGCCGTGGCCACAGTGGGTGGGACTTGGGAAGGCCTGGCCATTGAAAAATGAGGGAACCTTCCAGGCGTGGCCACATAGGGTCGTGGTCTGGGCAGGAGGGGGACCTGGGACCCTGCCCTGGCCCCAGGGTCCTGACTTGCGCACTTGCTGCTTACCCCAAGGTGGACATGTTCTCCGGGGCAGTATTCATTCAGCAGGCTCTGGGCTGGAACATCTATGCCTCTGTCATCGCGCTCCTGGGCATCACCATGATCTACACTGTGACAGGTGGCCGTGGCAGGGGCTTAGGGAACGGAGCGGGCTCCGGAGCCGCGCTAGGAGTGTGGATGTGTGGGCGGGGTTTAGGGGAGTCACCAGAGCAAAGTGAGGTGGTGAGGTTCTGAAGCGTGATGTGGTCCAAGCAGGACAAAAACCTAAATCTTTGGAAAGCAAACTCTCCCTCTTTCCCCACTGTTCCCTGGATTTGGACTGGAATTCCTGAGCGCTGAGCCCGTGCTGGACCTGGGCAAAAAGGAAGATTTTACTTATCAGCTCTTACTCTTCTTGAACGCCTGGGAGGGGAGAGGGGACTTGGCCAGTCTCCAGGATCACTCACCAAACCCGTGCAGTTCAGAGGGTCTGGGGGTGGGGCCCGAGGCCAGACCCTGGACCGGAGTGGGTAGGGCCTGGTGCCAAGGCCGGCTTAAGGGGCCTGGTCTCCGTGATGGGATGGAACTGAGAGTTGGACCTTAGAGAATCACCCCTTCCTATTACACAGATGAGAAACCTGGGGCCTAGAAGGGGGCCTTTAGTGGAGGTCTTTACGTGGGAGCCTGGCCAAGGAGGCAACAGGGGAACCTAAAACTCAGCCACACTCCTAATGCCGAGTGCATGAGCCACGAGAATGGGCCATCGTTTTGAAATTTGTTCTCCAGGAAGGGGCGCCTTTTCCAAATTTGCACAGACACCGCGGGTACTGGGGGCAGCCTGACTGGGTTATCCCCGCTGACCCAGGCCCGTTGCAGGAGGGCTGGCAGCGCTGATGTACACGGATACCGTGCAGACCTTCGTCATTCTCGTGGGGGCCTTCATCCTCATGGGTTACGGTATGGCTCTCGGCCGGGGGGAGTGGGGGGGCGCGAAGGTCGTGGGTCGCAGAGCCCTCAACTTGGGGGCAGGGACTTTGCGCATCTCTGGCACGTGGGTCCTAGGGAGGGCCTTGGCGCAGGCGCCAGGTCCCCTGACGACCTTGCTGTTTCAGCTTTCCACGAGGTAGGAGGGTATTCAGGGCTTTTTGACAAATACTTGGGGGCAGTGACGTCGCTGACGGTGTCCGAGGATCCGGCTGTGGGCAACATCTCCAGCTCCTGCTTTCGACCCCGGCCCGACTCCTACCATCTGCTCCGGGACCCTGTGACGGGGGACCTGCCGTGGCCCGCGCTGCTCCTGGGGCTTACCATCGTCTCAGGCTGGTACTGGTGCAGCGACCAGGTGCGGTTAGTGCTTGGGTGGGGAGCAAGGCTGGTGCAGAGCCAGAACCGCTGTGGGCGGAGCTGAGATGGGTGGAGCCTGAACCTATCGGGGCGCTAGGTCGAAGGCGTGGTCTGAGGGGGCGGGAACGGGGCCAGGGTGGAGATAAACCCGATGGAGCCGGATCCAAGAGGTAGGGTCTGTGTGTTGAGCTGAATTGCTTGCGCCTCTAAGCCGGAGGCGAGCCCTGAATTAAAGTGACGAGTTGAGGCAAGGCCCGAGGGACGGGGTATCCGGTACTGGATGCAGGTAGTTGAACGCACCTCGTCGCAGGTCATAGTGCAGCGCTGCCTGGCCGGGAAAAACCTGACCCACATCAAGGCGGGCTGCATCCTGTGTGGCTACTTGAAGCTGATGCCCATGTTCCTCATGGTCATGCCCGGCATGATCAGCCGTATTCTTTACCCGGGTAACGTCTTCCTCCCCGCCCCGACCGAGAGTCCTGTGCCTTATCCAGCCCCTTTCTTGTGCAAGGATTCAGGTGCCTGTCTCCCATTTCAGTTACCGTGCTAAGATTTGGGAATCTGGTCACCCAGCCCCATCTCCCACCAGGGGTCCCATCTTTCTTCCAGTAGGATTCCCCGTCCCCACTTCAGGGATCCGAATTCTCAGACTAGGTCCCGTCCTAGCCGTGTCGTGCCTTCTCTCCCGCAGACGAGGTGGCGTGTGTGGTGCCTGAGGTGTGTAAGCGCGTGTGCGGCACTGAGGTGGGCTGCTCCAACATTGCCTACCCGCGGCTCGTCGTGAAGCTCATGCCCAATGGTGAGGGCGAGCACCTGGGTTTTCCCCTGCTCACAGGCGCAGGCACACTGCGGAGACTGCCCCTGGGACGAGTCACCCCTCGCCAAGCCCACACCCTCCCAGGACACCCTGGTGGCCCTAGACTGAAGTTCCCATCGGCCCGCAGGTCTGCGCGGACTCATGCTGGCGGTCATGCTGGCAGCGCTCATGTCCTCGCTGGCTTCAATCTTCAACAGCAGCAGCACGCTTTTCACCATGGACATCTACACCCGCCTGCGACCCCGCGCAGGCGACCGCGAGCTGCTGCTAGTAGGACGGTGCGGCCTGGGTTTACTCCCATCTCCTGACCTACAAATTAGCCTGGTGTGGGAACAGGGAGCACTCCTAAGTTTGGGGGAAGGCGGGGGTCCTGAGTGAAATCTGATGGCCGCCCACCGCAGGCTCTGGGTGGTGTTCATCGTCGCCGTGTCGGTGGCCTGGCTACCGGTGGTGCAGGCAGCGCAGGGCGGGCAGCTATTTGATTATATTCAGGCAGTCTCCAGCTACCTGGCGCCACCTGTGTCCGCTGTCTTCGTGCTAGCGCTCTTTGTGCCCCGTGTCAATGAGAAGGTGAGTGTGCATAGTTGTGAGCTTGGGGCAGGACTAGGCCATTCCAGGAGGCTGATGCTCTCTCCCCCTACAGGGTGCCTTCTGGGGACTGATTGGGGGCCTGCTGATGGGTCTGGCGCGCCTTATTCCGGAGTTCTCCTTTGGCTCTGGCAGCTGCGTGCGGCCCTCAGGGTGCCCAGCGCTCCTCTGCAGCATGCACTACCTCTACTTTGCCATTGTGCTCTTCGTCTGTTCTGGCCTCCTCACCCTTGTAGTCTCACTGTGCACAGCACCCATCCCGCACAAGCACGTAAGTGCTGGCCTCTGGAGGGGCACTAAACATGCACCGTGTGGGCTAGTGCAGCCCTCTCCACCAGCAGTCTGCCAGTCCGCTTCCAGGAATGCCCACTGGGGGGACTGAATTTCTATAGAGGGCTGGTGAGGGCAGGCTGGGAGTCCAATTTGAAGTTCCGTTTGCAAAGCAGGCACAATGTTTTATTTAAATGACATTTATTTGAGGTGGTTTGGGGGGATGTGGCTTGAAGATTGTGAGGGAAGTGATTAAAGCCCCTGAAAGTCCTTGGCATGGCCTTTGGGACTGAAAACACACAGGATGTGATTGGTGGCTGAGAGAGACGGAGGACTATCTTGAAAGCCCACAAAAGGGTTTGGTCTTGTGCTGCTGCAGGGCAGATGCTCCAGGGCAGGGCTGACTGGAGGGAAGGACGAAAGAGCTGGGCCGGGAACGATGGGCAGGATTCCTCCTTAGAGAGGGGGAAGGCAGCAGGAGGAAACTGAGCAAATACCCACAGGAAGGAACACTGTAAGGACTCGAAGACTAGAGTCTAAAGTATAGTACTACAACTGTGAGTGTAGACAGGGAACCTGGGGTGATGAAGCGGGGGTTGGGGGGAGCAGGACCAAGAGGAGCTTGGGTTTAGTTTGAGGACAGCCATGGAAGGTTGGCTCTGAGTGAGCTGAGCCTGGGCTGGGTGTGCAGGCTGGATAGGGAGGAGGTTAGGGGTGCCAATGTGGACAACAGACCTCGGGGTCTCGGGTCGGGGAACAGAACTCCCACTTGGTCCCTGCTCCCACCCTTCCCCAGCTTCACCGCCTGGTTTTCAGTCTCCGGCACAGTAAGGAGAAGCGGGAGGACCTGGATGCTGATGAGCTGGAAGGTCCAATCTCACCCCCTGTACAGAACGGGTGCCCCGAGCATGTAGTAGAAATGGAGGGTAAGGCACTGCCCAAGGAGGTGGGGCTAGGGAACTGGGTGAACCAAGTTTCCTGAAACTAACTATCGGGCCTCAATTTTTCCCAGAGTCCCGGTCCTCGGCACCAGGCCTGCTCCGCCAGTGCCTGCTCTGGTTCTGTGGAGTGAGCAGGGCTGGGGCAGGTAGTCTGTCAGCTCCCACCCAGGAGGAGGTGGCTGCAGCAGCCAGGCGGCTAGAAGACATCAGTGAGGACCCGAGCTGGGCCCGTGTGGTCAACCTCAATGCCCTGCTCATGATGGCAGTGGCCACATTCCTCTGGGGCTTTTATGCCTGAGGCCAACTGTGTTGGACACCATGAGCCACACAGCCAGGGCAGGGCTCAGCCTTACAATGAGTGGGGGTGGGGAGCCTGCAGTGGTGAGATGGGAGTGGGGCAGGAGGGGGAGTAGGAAGGCCCTGGTTTCCCTTCTCTTCACCTGTCTCTGCCTGAGGTCCACTCCATCGGACTGGCAGTCACTTCCTGTGAGGTCTTGGCCAACCTGCCAAGCAGTTCCCCTAAGTAAAAATAAAGCTGCTTTTCCCACATTCTGCTATGGCCAAAGTGTCATTGCTTCAGGCTCCTGTCCTGGGACCTGGACCTCTGTCTGGGCTGCTCACAAGAATTTCTTCTCTGGAGACAGGAGCCATGTGGCCCTCCACTCATCCACCTCTAGCTGGTGCTTCTCAGTCTTCCAACCGGCATCCTGCAGTCCTGGGGAGAGGTCATGGGAGTGCTGCCAGGACCCTGGGGGAGGAGACTCTGGGCTGACCCTGGGGAGGGGGTTAAGGAGTGGCACAGGCTCGGCATGGCCTTGCTTCTGCTGGGTAATCTCTGGCATAAAATAAGGCTAAAACCTCATCTGGTTGCAGCAAGAATTCATTGACCTAGCACACGGAAAAGGGTGGAACTGAGTAGGTGCTAAATAAAAGGCCATCATCAGTAATTTGCGAGCCTCCCCGTGCCCCTAGTTCTTCAATGCCAACTGGGATTACACAGACTGTCAGCACTAACTTAGCCCTCAGGGAGACCATCCTAACCTCCCCATCCTGCAGAGAGGGAAACTGAGGCCCAGACTTAAGCTCACAGAGAGAACCCAGGTCTTCCACCTCCCAGGTGGAGGGGTGGGGATAGGGGTAGGCAGGGCCCCTGGGGAGAAGGCCTCAGAGGCCAAGGAGCCATAGGGCTGAAGGATGTTTTTACCTTTCAAGAACTTTGGGAACAGCTTGTCCAACACATGGTGCGTCTCCCTGACGATGACCCAACTCTCTTTCGCGAGACCTAGGGGGTTGCAGAACCAGCAGCTCTCAGGTCCGCAAGCTGAAGAGGGAGTGCTTCCTTTCTCCACCCCAATTCTAGTCACCTGCAGTTTAGATTTTGAGGTGCTTACCTGCCTGTACTCGGTTCCTCAGTTCCTCCAGCTCTCTTGGGAGGGGCCCATCTCTCCGCAGGGCTCCAAGCACCAGCCCGTGTGTGGCGGCCCTCAGGACGGTCTCAGGGCCTGCCATTTGGCTCAGAACTACCTGTACCTGGTCTGGAGAGACCCAGGGACAGACTGGTACCAGGGAAGTGCCACCTCCCCAAACACGCTCAACCCTGCTACGGCTGCTTCATCCCTGTCTGCCCCCAGAGGCCTTGACCTGGCATGGAAGGCCATCTCTCACGCTTTCCTTTCCAACTTCATCTCCCGTTGCTCCCCAGTGCTCTGGACAAACTGAAATGCCCAATTTCCAAATACAATTTCAGGGCAGCTCACTGAGCTGGGTTCATTTTGCATGTCTTTAATGGCTAGTGAAAATAAGCCCCTTTTAGCACACAACTAGCAGACCAGGAAACTCTAGTACTTGTTTCCTCAAGTAGTGACCCCGGATGGGAGAGAAAATAACCAAAGGTCGTAATCTTATTTGAGTAAGTGTGTTACAATGTATAGAGTGTTTGTAAATAATCACCTTATTTGATTCTCATAAAAACACTGCAGGTATGAAGGCAGGTATTGTTAGCTCCATTTTACAGAGAGAGAAAGTGAATTTCATTGGGGCATGCAGCAATGATTTCTGTGTGTCAAGTCTTAGTCCAGAGCTCACTCCAGGACACCAGGCAGCCTCCAAACTGTCCAGGCCTTGTGGCCTTGGAGCTGGAGGAATGAGAGGCTGAACCCAGGAGGATGAGTCTAAGGCTAGGAGAATGTGGCACACTTACTTTGTGACTGGTTCCAGCGAAGGAGGTAGGGTTCTTGGTGCCCCTCAACCAGCTGCTGCAGCTCAGAGACACTGAAGGAGAGAGTGCAGTGGGGGAGGAGAAAGCAAAGGTAGGAGCAACCATCCAGTCAACTGAACAGCTACCTGTTAACCATAACTGTCCATACTTCATCTGTCCTTCACCCGCTTCCCAGCTCTCTCTCATTACCTATGCACCCCACATCCATCCTTCCTTTCTTCCTGCATCCTGTCCTCCATTTTCCTCATCTATCCATTCTTTCCTCATCCAACAAATACATCCTTTATATCTATGTTACACATTCTCCTCCCCTCAAGCACTCATACTGACCCCCAGTCTGTTCAGCAGAGATAAAGAACCTAGAGCAGAGAGGTGGGGCCTGGTCAGGGGAAGCCAGTATGTAATTGGAATAATGAGCATGTGTGAGGAGTGGGAGTAGTGATAGGTGGGAGACACTGGGCCACTCACCTGGAGATCAAGCGGTGTAGGGGGACCCCCAGGGATAGAGACACAGATGGCCAGAAACCTGTGGGAAGCTGGAGTCAGGATGCCCAGGCACCGGGAGAGACTGGGAGACATAAGACTTGAGACAAACAGGTTGGGTCACCTGTCCACAGTGGCTCCATCCTATTGGCTGAAGTGGGGCCAAGAACCTCTCCTCTCTGAAGGAAGTGCTTCAGGACCAGCCAGAGCCGGCCTTCGTTCAAGGTCTCTATGACAAGGGCTCGGACTGCCCGGTAGTTGGCGTAGATGTGGAGGGCAGTGAAGAGGAAGAAACAACCAAGGCTGAAGCTGGTGAGAGAGTGAGGTAGTCAATGTGGGCAGAGGCCTAGCTGGGCACCTCCTCCCCGCCCTTGATCCCAGCTTACCTAGGGCAACCTGACACCAGGGGAAGCATCAAGAGGCTGACCAGGAGCCCTGCCAGGTTTACCAGCGTCTCCTGGAAAATGGCAGAGGGATTGGGAGTTGGAGGGCTCCCCTCCAGGCTAGACTGAATATCTTTGAGTGCCTTTCATCACAATCCCCCTCCTCTGGAACCTCCCAAGGCTCCCTACACTGATGAGGGCACCTAGTAAATTTTTAACGTTTTTGGTGAGTGAGCTGTCATTTAAGATACCAGCTGCTTCCCTGCCCAGGTAGATGCAATGCCGTTGGAATGTTATCTTTGTTTTGCAAGAGTCACCTGAGTAGCCCTACACTCAGGCAAGTAAATGTCCGCAGAATAGGGAACTACTTTTATTTGGTAGTTTAAAAAGGCTGACCCCCACCAGCCCCTTGGTATGCAGTAATTGGCAGACACTTTTGCAAAGGGGTCAAGGAATCGCCCAGGAAGAAAGTACAAGATCTAAACCTCTTCCCTTGAGAATCAGTGTTATTAGAGCCCCCTGATGGCCAGAGATGGCCTGACGGAGCACACTTTAGGGTAAAAGACCACAGGCCACCTGCCCCCAACTCATCATGAGGGAGGAGTCTGGGTTGATGCCCCTGACTATGGGGTCCCCAAGAGAGTTGGTGCTGGGAAAGAGTGGGCCTGAGGCTGGAGAGCTCTTCTTACTCAGCCATCTTGGCAAGGGGGTGGGCCATGGAAATAAAGGCTGTGGGTGTGAGAGTAAACTGGGGATCAGTGGCCTTGGGAGCTCAGGAGCAGAGGGACCTCCTCTCCCCTAGATGGGAATAGTGATTTCCAGCAGCCACATTAAGTGGCAACAAAGCAACATCAGCAGAAAGCAGGGACCTGCTGCAGGACTGAGCACACGTCCTAGCTTGCTCTGGTGATGTGTTACTGCCTCTATGGACTGAGGAAGCCCTGTGGCCTTGGAAAATACAGCTTGAGGGTCGGAGGTGGGCTGGGAGTTAGAAAGAGGGCAGGTGAGAGACAACAGGCATGAAGCTGGGAGATCCTAAAGAGAAGGGCCTGGATTGTACTTATTTCTCCCTTCCTAACCACCTATGGGGGAGATAACAGGGAAGAACTAGTCCAACCATTTCCTGAAAGAAGGGACTTGCGCAAGGGTAGCCAGGGAGACTGAAGCTCTCTATGCCTTAGTTCCTCATCTGTAGAATGGCAACAATGAGTACCTCCTGCACAAGACAATTGTAAGGATTTAATAAGTTCACAGAAATGAAATACTTGGCACATGGTTAATGCTTAATAGATATTAGTTTGTGTTAATATTATTGAAAGGAATTAGTCTTAATTTTTTTTTAAATGAAGTTCTATTTAGAAACCGAACAGGGCCGGCCTGGTGGCACAGCAGTTAAGTTTGCACGTTCCGCTTCTCGGCAGCCCAGGTTCACCGGTTTGAATCCCATGTGCGGACATGGCACCGCTTGGCAAAAGCTGTGGTAGGCGTCCCATGTATAAAGTAGAGGAAGATGGGCATGGAAGTTAGCTCAGGGCCAATCTTCCTCAGCAAAAAGAGGAGGATTGTCAGTAGTTAGCTCAGGGCTAATCTTCCTCAAAAAAAAAACCAAACCCAAAAAACAGAAACTGAACAAAACAATATAAGAGAAGGCCAGAAAGCAGGACTGGATAGAAAAGAGGTTTCTAAATTCCTTCAGTGTCAAAGAAAACCATGTCACACTTCTGACCTCCCTGGGCCTCACTTTCCCCATCTGTAACACAGGGATAACAACACTATCTGCCTCATAGGGTTGGTGTGAGAGTTAAATGATGCAGTACACATAAGCACTTAGCATGGGGGTTTGGGGGGATCCAATACCTGTAGAATTCAGCCTTAGGGGTATCCCTACCCCTACTGCAGGCTCCCTTGGTCAGCCGAGGGGTTGGGCCAGAAGGGCCTGCTAAACTGCTGAGTGGAGGCCTTTGCCCAGTGACCCCAGCCACCTCACATGCTGAGCACTTTTTGACTTGCTAAGTGCTTTAACATGTGGGGCCTCATGTGATCAGGACATCTACCTCCCACGGTGTGTGGCTATGGCTAGAGTGGGCAAGGGCCAGGGCAAGGGCTCACTCTTGGCCACACAGGCAGCAGGCAGGGGCTTGGACTTGCCACCAAAGCCCGTGCCCTCATACTGGACTACCTACCCTGAGAGTCAGAGCCTGGGGCACCTACATTTCTTCCTGCGTGTCCCCCACTCCTACCCGCAGGAGCACTCGGGTGCTTCTCTCCATACTCTCAAATTGTGGCATGGCGTGATACCCCCCAATCCTCCCCTGCACCGTCCTTCCAATTCCGGCCGCTCACCTGACTGCTATCCTTGGCTGACACATCAGCCATGTTGTTTCTCCGGGCCTGGTGCATGGTCAGTGCAGCCCGAGTGGCACCACCAGCCACGCTTACAATGCACTGGGTGGGGAAAGGGAAGAGTGAAGGTCAGAGAAGCCATGAGCTGTGGCAACATAGGTGCTTCTGTGGGTGAGCCAAGTAAATGGCTCACACTAGCTTGACAAGACCAGGTCTTAGGCCACCCCACAGCAAAACCCTGAATGTTGTCCTTGGTATCTTGTTCTCACCCTCTATATCCACTAGGCCCACCTCCCCTGTCTTGTTCCAGGAGAAAACTAAAGTTTGCCTGCCATACCACCCTGTGGAAAAGGCCCCAAGGAAACTCAATTTCTTTCCCCAAGGTGGAGGCCCAAAGACCATTCTTAGCCCACAACTTCCCCAGCCTCCAACTTCTACTTTGGCTGTACCCTCCCTGTTGCTGAGCTCCCAGGCCCAGTCTGGTTTCTAACTTTATGCTTAAATTTTGCCTGCCTGTAACTAACTCCACTCTCTTCCTGCCCTAGTGAAGGCCTAGCAAGCCTTCCAGGCCAGTTCAAAACCCACCCCAGTGGCCCTGACCTCCCATGGCACCTGGATCTCTCCCTCTGAGATCGAGGACGGTAAAGCTCATTGATGAGGATCATTGATCACCTTCATTCATCTCATATTTACCAAATCTTTTAGATGCCAGACACAGATTTAGGTGCTGTGAAATAATTCAGACACAACCCCTGCCCTCATGAAGCTTAAAAATCAATAGATGATAAACTAGTTATTATGTAGGCAGAGCTTATTCAAAGGTAAAATGAAAGTGGTGCAAAATGAGGCTGGAGTGACTGGCTTGGACCTGTTCACATGGAACCTTGCAAGCTTTGTTAAGGTCTTTATACTAAGAGCAATGGGGGCAGGAAAGTGACCTGATTTGATTTCCACTCTTAAAAGGATTATTAGGCTGCTCTGAGAAGGACTGAACAGGGGTGAGACTGGAAACAGGGAGACTACCTAGGAAGTAACTGCGCTTTTTCAGCAATGAGGAATTACCAGATGACATGGAGATGAAGGAGTGAATAGACTGGAGAGATTTAGGAGGGAAAAATAACAGAATTGAATGGAGGTTTAGCTGAGGGTGACAGATGAGGGAGGAGAAGGCATGGATGACAGCCAGGCTCCTGGTTGGCGCACCTGGGGGACAGAGGTGCCAGTCACGGAGACTGGAACTCCAGAGAGGGTAGGGAGGGAAGGGGGAAGGAAGTTTATAGCCCTGTTACATTTCCTTATTTGACAGATGAAGAGACTGAGGCCTCAAAGGTGGAGTTTAGTGCAGAATTTAGGCAGAGGTCACAATCCTTGGTCCACAGCTATAGCACTGATTTTTTTCTGGGGTTTCCTGCTCTGGAGGAGGAGGGGGTGCGCATGACATTTAGTGCCTGGGCCAGGGAAGGTAAATGTCCACCACCACAAGTAACTGTTGCATCCGAAACATCAGTAGTGCCCTGTAGAGACACACTGCTCTAAAGTGATTCTGAACAGGCAGATGGGCCTTGGAGATGGATCTTACCTGTCTTCTTAAGAGTCTTTCTCTATGCCAGGTACTTAACCCTGTGGTGAAGACAGGCTAAGCTCTTTGCTGAACCTTGCTAGGCCTCAGTTTCCTCACTGGATGAGGCCAACCTGAAGGATCTGTGAGGGTGAGCAGCCTGGCAGAGAAGAGCTCGCATTCACCCTACTTGCCCCTCTAGCCTCACTGTCCAGTCTGTGCTCTGTCTGGCCACTGGACCTTGACCCATGCTGTTCTCTTTGCTCAGAACACCCACCTGGCACCTTAAACTTACTATTCAAGATGCAGCTGCAGGGGAGGACTTCCTGCCTCCCCTGACTAGGCCAGGTTCCCTGCTGAACCCTCTTGAAGCCCCCTACGCTTCTCATCTGGAATACCTGTAGCTATAATTCTGTAAATATTTGTTTAATTATGTGTGGCTTTCTTTCAAAGATGAGAGGGCCCACACTCCGTGGCAAATATGCAGTAGGCACTCAGTAAATATTTTACTGAAAGAATGAAAGGTAGCCAGAGTTGGTACCAAGATGTTGACACTGGACCACCACTTCTGTATCTCAGTTCAGATCTCCCTCGCCAGTCCTGTGGCTCCAGACACTGCCTTAGACTGACTATCTGAGGCACCAGAGTCTGTCTGGCTGGAGGAGGATCATATAGTTGGGTCCAAGTAGAAACATCTGAACATTTTTACTCTTCTAGAAGTGCCTGGAATACAAGGTCCAGGCTGGGCTTACTTGTGGGCCCCAAGTGAGCCCACCCACAGCACCACCAAGGCAGGTATCTTGGGTATAGGGGTGCTCCAGAGGTAGGTACCTTGGCCAGGTTGCTGATGCAGACGATCATGGTGAAACAGATTGGGTATACAGGAGCCATAATCTCAAGGAACATGGCTACATCATTGAGGATGTCAGCAAAAAGCCTGGAGGAAGGGATCAGAGGTTAGAGGTCAGACGTAAGAGAACTTCATAATAGAAAACGCCTCTCCCCTCTGTCCCAGCCCCTCCTCACCTCCAGTGCTTGGCATTACAGTCCAGTTTGCTCCTGTTGGGGAGGAGAGGTTGGTTTACAATTTGGATTTAAGGAGAAAACGGATCCTGTGGGCAGCGCAGGCCATCCTTAGGCCAAGGTAAGGTCCAAAGGGCTCAGGAAAACCCACACACCAGCCAGACATCTGTCCCAACACTGTCACTGCTGCCTGAAATGCCATCATCAGCTGGGAGGACTTTCAGTGGTCACTTAGTATTTCCCCCTTGCTAACTATGATGCACCAAAGGAAAAAACTGATTGCCTTGTGGCTGCTCCCCACCCTTTGCCCCTCTTCTGAGAGAAGCTCCCCCTGGGTTCCTCTGCCATCTCTCCTCTTCTTCCTCCTGCTCATCAAGGGTACCCAGCAAGAAGTCCACACATTTTGGACTGGTAAACAATACATTTAGTGTGAGCCCCACATGTTACAAATAACTAGCCCAGAGAGGGGACAGGAATTCCCTTGGATTACATGCAGAGTCGGGGAAAAGGCCAAGAGAAAGAGCCAGGCTCTGACATACAAGCCTAGGATATTTCTATTACACAAGAGGATGGCTGCCTCTTCTGCCAGGCAGAGCGACTCCCTGGCCCATGCACAAACACCTGGCAACCAATTCTCCAAGATTCCAGTGGCAGGAGATGTTGCAGCTCCCAGCACAGGTCAGAATTTGCAGCATTAGCCCCAACTCTTAATTTGCAAATCTCCTGGAGAGAAAGGGAGCATTCCTGGGTGGGGTCTGGGACACACATGGGGAGCTCTGGAAGGAGAACTAGAACACATGGGTCTGGTCTAGGGCTCTGCCCCATAAAGCAGCCTGACACTACAGAAAGAGTACAGGTTTTAGGCTTAAATCCCATCTCACTAGTTACAAGCTGCGTGACTTGGGTGAGTAACCTCCCTCTTTTAGGTCTGCTTCACATCTGTAAAATGTACACATTTAATCCTACTCTACAAAGTTGTTCTAAGGCTGATACATATAGGGAGCTTGTGAGGCACAGAGCTGTTAATAGCACCTAGTGTTGACTTATTATGTGCCATGTAATGTGCTAAGCACTTTGCATAAACTACGTCACTGAACCTCACAATCACAATGGCAGATACTAAATCACTCCTGAGGTTGCCCAGTACTGACCTGAGGAAGCAGGCAGCACAAGATCCTTAATCCCTTCTCGATAAATAATGACACTGATTCCATGTAGAGCAAGCATCCTGATGACCTGCCCAAGCCCACTCCCTGCTCAGCTCAGCAAAGTCCAACCAAGTGTCTGAGCCACCAAAGTAGCCTCTGGAGTAAAGTCATTCCTTTTGGGTTAAGCATTGTCCCATTCAGGCTTCTTTTTTCACGTGGAAACAGAAGACACATAAAGCCTTGTGGCTCTCTCTGTTTTTCCATGATGGGCATCAGAGTGGCAAATCAGTGCTCTTGAAGGCAGATCTGATCATAGCAATGGCTCTGTGGCTTTACTGCTAGGTGATCCTGGGCAAGCCACCGGGACTGGGCACTCACTAAAGACTCCTTAGCTGTGAAAATCTTAATTGCTAAATCTCCCCTCCCCTGGAGACTTGGAGGAGAGAAGGGAGCTGAAAATAAAGCCAGGACTGAAACAGACATGATCCCTGTCTGGGGAGAGTAGCCAGAGGGCTGCTTACCAGGAAGACAAACTCACCCCTTCCACCAGGCAAAGATGATGCGGCCCAGCATGCCAGTCGAATCTGGGGGAGAGAGGCACTGGTAAAGAACAAGGAAGACCTTTGGGGGCTGTGGGGCCTGGCAAACCCTGGCACTGAAATGGCTGATTCACCTTGGGTCACTGCTCATGGGGACTCAGTCTGGTACGGTAAGTTCTGGATAGACATAGCTGTACAATCGGGTCAGAAGTACCTAGACTTAGCAATTCCTCAGTATGTACCCAAGAGAACTATGTACCCATGCACACCAGGAGACGTAGACCAGAAATATTCTTTGCAGCATTGTTCATAATAGCAAAAAACTGGGAATAGTGCAAATGCTCATCAACAGGAGAATGCATAAATAAATTCTGGTACATTCAATCAGCAGATTAGACAGCAGTGAAAATCCAATGGACTACAACTACTTACATCAAAATGGATGAATCCTAGTATTATAATCTTGCATGAAAAAGTAAGCCATGACAACTCAAACACAATGTACTTTTCCTAAAGCTCTAAAACAACTAAAACTAAACAATGCAGTGTTTAGGTATATATATCTATATGGTACAACTATTAAAAAAAAAAGGCAGGAAATCCTGTGTGGAAAGTTCAGAGGTTACTGTTGATATTCTAGCTCTTAGGTTGGGTAGGGAATTCACAGGTGGTCATCAGAGTATAAATAAATAAAAAGGATTTGAACTGCAGGTTGGTGACAGAGAGCTGGGGATGTGAGGCAGAGGGAGAGACCTCCCTAGGCTAGTGAGAGTCAGCGAAGTCTCCAGAATCAGCTAGACCTTCATTTATACAACAAATGCTTGCTGGCTACCTACTCTGTGCCAGGCACTACATGAGGCATGGGGGATACAGTGGTGATCCAGAAAATCATGGTTCTAGGCTCAAAATCCAGTGCAAAAGCAGACAGCAATCAGTGTGAGAAACATTGATTTAGACTAAGCATCAATTAACTGTGGCCTGCGGGCTTCCACTCCCTGTTTCTACAGAACAAAGTTTTATTGGAATACAGCTGTGCCCATTCATTTACACATTGTCTATGGCTGTTGTCATGACAAAATGGCAGAATCAAGTTGCTCTGACTGAAACTATAGTCTGCAAAGTGTAAAATATTCATCATCTGGTCCTTTACACAAAGTTTGCCAACCCTTGATTTAGACTATACCTCATACTGAGAGTAGCGCTCGTTAAGTTCAACAGGGGGATCACAAAGAACTGTTCTAGAACCAAACAACTGGGAAGGCCTCATACAGGAAAGGACAGATATGGTGGGCAGAGGACTCCCAACTTGTTTGAGCTTGAGGGCATGGACCTTTAAGTGAGGGATGCAGAGAGAAGGGAAACTACGTTGTAGGAAGGAGGGTTGGGAGCTTCCCACAACGTATAAAGGTGGGGACAGAGGTTTAGCCTCCCCCATTCTCCACTGGAAAGAGATGTACTCACCCCTTGCCACAACCTCCATCCTTGGGCATTCAGGCCTTCTAAGTAGACATCTTTACCCAACCCCGGACCACTAGGCACTCTGGTGGACACCTGAAATACCTATGTCTTTCAGTCTTCACAAAAATCCTAGGAACTTGAGAGGGAGCATTCCTTTTCACAAAGCAACTGAAGCTCACAGGAGACAGGTGGACAAAAATGGGACTTTTTACAAGAAAATCTGGATTTCTAGCTTTTCTGGAAGAACCTGAAGAATGGCAACACTGGGCCTGCCTTCCCTTACTGCCGCAGTTGGCTGAGGCTGAGCAGCCACCTCATTCAGAGAAGGCATGTGTACAACACATCTCCCATCCAGCCTGCCGTCTCTCCATTTCTGTCCCTTATATGTCCCTGGAAGTAACACCCATCAGGGTGGCTTTATAGGCCTCCTCCCTCTGTCACTCACCTCACCCTCTTCCCTTCAACTACATTTTATTCTACACAAAATTTTCCTTGTTCTGTTTAAGATTCTTGTATTGGATCAACTTAGTAACTCTGAACATGGCAAGATGACTTGTACTGGTTGAGGGAGAGCTCACTGGGCCAGACTCTATTTTTCTTCCCTTTGACTGTACTCATATCCAATCAGATGTATGTCCTACATATAATGGCCACTTGGCAGAAAGGGGCTCTATTCATTTATTAGAAGCAGGCTGCAGGGACCTTGGCAGAATCTGGAGGTTGACCCGAGTAGGCGGTAATGACACACATTCTCCCTATTATCTGACAGTCAACACTATCCACTAGACTAGTCAACTTAATTCCCACCTGCTCTTCTTTGCCTCACAATTAGCTGAGCTGTAGGATCTAGAAACTTTTGAGTCCTACTAAGGGATCATTTGCCCACAAATTGTACTTGGCTCCACCCTAAAATCCCAAGTGGCAAGAGGGTGGTGGTTGTGAGTGGCACCCAGGAGTCAGTCAGTTTGGATCCAAATCATGGCCCCATGTTACCTTAGGCAAGTTAGTAAATCTCTCTGAGCTTCAGCTTTCCCCTCTGAAAAGCCCATTAATAATGGCATCTACCTAATATGGCTGCTGCAGAGATTAAATTACATATTACATCTAAGTGTGTAAAATGTCTGGCATACAGTAGGCTGTCAAAGTATTAGCTGCCAGGGGCCGGGCCAGTGGTACAGTGGTTAAGTTTGCACATTCCGCTTCAGCAGCCCGGGGTTGCCCTGTTTGCATCCTGGGTGCGGACATGGCACCGCTTGGCAAGCCATGCTGTGGCAGGCGTCCCACTTAGAAAGTAGAGGAAGATGGGCATGGATGTTAGCTCAGGGCCAGTCTTCCTCAGCAAAAAGAGGAGGATTGGCAGCAGATGTTAGCTCAGGGCTAATCTTCTTCAAAAAAAAATTAGCTGCCAGTAGTATTACTATTGTTAATTATGACAATTAACATCATGTTCCATTAAGAGATCTGTAACTGAAAATGACCATACCAAAAAATTCCAAGGGAGTTTCTTGTATAAAGCTCCGCATACAAATTTCCCATGTTTGATGCAAATAAGTTTGTAAAATCTCTCCTAAGAAGGCTTCTTCTAATGTCAACAACAGGCTCTAAAGTAAGTGGATATTTTCATATCTTACGTGGTCTTATTTTTTTCTTAATAACCTGCCTGAGTTGGACATATATAGGCAACATGTTGGTGATAAGGCTTAGAAATGACATGAAAACACCAGCTACTGACCCTAGCTCCTGCTGCATTTCAAACACTTAGCCAATAGGAGAGCAACGGAAAAGATCCAAACCAAGCTCAGTGTGGTGGTATGAAAATGTGGACTCTGGAACTAACCCTCCTGGGTTCAAATCCATTCCCTACCACTTACTGGCTGTGACCCTGGGCAAGTTACTTTTCTGTGCCTCAGTTTCCTCATCTATAAAATGGGGATAATGACAATACTACCTATCTTAGAGCTATTGTGAAGACTGAGACAGTACATTTAAAGACTGGCATACAATAAGAACTGTTTGTGTGAACTATGATTATTAAAAGAAGAGACAGTTAGGACAAGTCACAGATCACCACTTCTCCACTGAATGTACCATTAGAGAAAGTTTCTTTTCAAAGGTGACTCACATTTGGCCAGTTTGCTCAGTCTTAATGGTAAAGGTGTAAGCAGGAGCCTCTTGATTCTCTAAGAGATCCAGGGAGGCTCACCAGAGGTGTGGCCAGGCTGATGCTAGGAATAGAAGGAGCCTTACCTTAGGTCTGATTTAAACCTCCAGGGGGAACAGTAGTGAAAGACAAAGGACAGTGGAGAGAGCTATGGGCTCTCCTGATGTGGAACAGTTTCCCTTTTCTTTTCTACTTCACTCTCTAGGTGCCATGGTACCAAAATGTAACTTTTTTTAAGTGGTTTTTCAAAAAGTTGTACATTCAACAGATGGTTACTATAATTGCTATTTACAGCATCATCTAGTGTCCCAGAGGATCTAAGATGCCTTTCATCTTTCCCAGAACCTCCTCTCCCCCTACTCAGGATCAACTACACAATTTTTTTTTCTGGAACTAATCGATTTCCTCCACACCAGGCAGCTGGTAGTTTTATCCAATAACCACACTTTTATGCAGTCCTCCACAAAGAGACTAGGGATAAAGGAGAGGGGACAGTTAACTTAGGGATCTGGGCCGCAGATGATTTAGGGACTCTGACCAGTATTTATGGGGAACAGAGTGCGGTTGCAAGGCTGGTGCTCAGGATGAAGGTATTGTAGCTGTGGGCGATTAATTAATTGTTGAATAAAGCCAACAAGATCTTTAAAATTTACTCAGTCAAATTTTGTTTTTTAACAGGGTACAAGGCACTGTTCTAGGCACTGGGGAGACTTGGCTTCCGCATCTAATCAGGCACGAGTCCATAAATATCACAGCCCAAAGCTAGAAGCCAGAACACTGGCAGGGGTGAAAGGAGGGGTATGTGCAGTCGGAGAAAAAGGGGCCAGGGAGATGGGAGGGCTGAGAGCAGTGACAGGTGAGGCTCCATGGTCCAAGCTCACCTTTCACGAGCCAGGTGGCCGTGGCAGCTGAAACAGAGGCTTTTGCGTCTCCTACCCCTAAGCCTAGCAAGACTGCGTGGGTGGCCAGGGAGCCCGAGAGGCTGGAAGCAAAGGCCTGCAGGAGAAAAGAAGGGGGTGAGGAGTGGGCGCAGGAGCACGGGGAATCTAAGTTCTATTCTCAGCTCTCCTTGGTGTGTGACCTGGAACACGTTACAGCTCTGCTCTGGGCCTCCTTCTCCAGTCTATAAACAGGCAAGGAGAGGTGGCCCGTATTGCCTCCTTCACCGCCGACTACATGCCGCCCCCTACCCGAGTCGGCCGGGCTGACCTGCACAGAATCCCACAGCTGGTAGGGCAGATAGTCCGGGCTGACGCTATCGGGGAAGCCCTGTGGCAGGAACAAGGCCAGGAGCCGGGAGAGAGGTGCTGAGGCGGTCGCGGGAGCCCCCTCTCCGCCCCCATCTGGTCCTTCGGGTTTTGCTGTGAAAGCCCCAGAGAACCCCCACCAGCGCCACCCCCAGGCCTCCCACTGCAGGCTCCCGTCGACAGCGGCGCAGCAGCCCCGGGCGGCCCCGGAGCCGTACTGCTCCGAGCACAGCCGGGCCTCCAGGCTCGCGCCGTCAGCCATAGCGGCTCTCTCCCTGCAGCCCCGTGTAGCTGGAAACGTGGCCAAATGACATTTCCGGCTCGACTACGGCGGCTGCAGAGGGGCAATCTTCCTTTGCGAAAGGGCTACCAGCCTCTGTCTTCGTCTGTCCAGCCCAGGAACCAGACTCTTCCTCTCTGACCTCCGGGCCTCGCCTCGGACACCTCGGGGCGGATCCTGGCGTTTGTTCTTTGTAGCATTTTGTAGCTGCGCCCCGGGAGTCATGGGGGCCCTTTGACCCGCCTAGCCCTGGACTCCTAGGACCTACAACTTCCAGCTATGGGGAGAAGGAAAAAGGGCGTCCCTAGGGAACTGTTGTGTTCGAGACCCGGTGCGGCCACAGAATTTTTAGCTGTGTGACTTTGGTCAAGTCAGTGTCCTTCTCTGCGTCTTAGTTGCCTTCTTTATTGTGAGGCCAGGGACTATATTTTACTCCTTATTTTATCTCCGCTACGTAACACATGGTAGGTGCTTAAAAGATATTCATGAATGAACGAACGAACGCATGATGAGAAGTTGGACCAGGTGATCCCTAAGGCGCTGTTAAGCTTCCCTTTTTGTTTGTTTTTGTTTTTCTTCTGGGCGTCTCTGGCCCTCCACTAGAGATTCTCTGTCCTTCAGCCTTCCCCAAGACTGAAAGAGTATTATTTCTCAAAGGAACCTAAAGACATCTGAGGATGAGAAAATCAAGGGATTGCAGTTAATAGTGTCAGAAAACAAGAGAAATAGACAAGAAGTTCTTGTGTGTTTAGTGGGGGAGATGGTCCATGAAGTTGGGGGGAGAGTCTAAAGTCAGAATGTTTCTCTCCCTCCCAACTCACCCCTTCTTCTCTTTCCCTCTCTCCCTTTCTCCTTCCCATCTAGTGCAATGTACTGACTCCAAAGTAGAAATTTGCTAAAAGTGCCCTCTTTTTATCAGAAAATAAAATATCCTGGTTCCTCAGCCTGGAACACCCTTCTACTCCACCTCATCTTATCTGAGACCTGTAGAGTCTCTCTGAGGCTGAGATAGACACTGGGCACTTCTTTTTTCTTTTCTTTTCTTTTTTTTTTAATTTTGAGTTTCCTGTTAGAGTGAAAAATTGAAGGGTTTAGAAACATGAAATATTTTAAATGTTAGCTTCTGTGAGTGTATTGAACTCGGAGGCCCACCTCTATGAATGAATTCCATCAGAGGGCCTTAGTTCTGTCACTTAGTATCTGTGAGATCTTTGGGCAAGTTTCTTGCCTCTCTGTCCTTCACTTTCTTCATCTGTAAAATGAGAATAATACTAATTCTTAACGCATAGTGTCAAGATGAGGATTACATGAGTCATATGTGGAAAACTCTTAAACTATGTTTGGCACATGGTACATGCTATTTAAGTGTTGGCCATTATTTGGGGTTAATGTCAAGTATTCAAATGTGAGGCCCTTTGCTCCATATGAGGCAGGTCAAATGGCCCTCATGACTAGCATCACCATATAATTTATTGTCCAAATCAAGATTTTTGAGAGTGTCATTAAAGGAGGCACTATTAATAATTACATTGGGATAATAGATTAGAGCTGTCCTGAGTGAACTGAGAGATATGGTCATGCTACTTAAGGACCTTCTTGGCTTTACTGACCACCATTGTGCAAGTTGACCTCTCCCTGCTCAGAGACCCTTGTTCATTGTAGGACTTATTTAGCCCAGTTTGTATATGGTTTTACTAGGTACCTCTTTCCTATCTTCCCAAGTGGACTGTAAGTGCCTGAGGACAAGGACGTATCATACACTTCTTTGTGGCTTCAGTGTCCAGATCAGTGGCTTGACAAAGAGATGAGTGATGGTCCCTCTTCTACCCTATGAGACCTCTTGGTAGCCTGCATTTGATGGTATACCAAACACTGGGCAGGATACTCCCAGCTGCACGTCTCCTTGACTTCATCCTCATCGGTCTCCCCACTTCTGCTCCTGCCCCCTTACAGTCCACTCTCCATGCAGCCTAAAACTCCCCCACTTAAAACCTTTCAGTGGCTTCCTGTTACTTTTATGGAAGAACATTCTCCTCCAAATCCTTCAATGGCTTTTCTTCACACTTGAAAATAAAACACAGAGGCCAGTCTGGTGGCCGAGTGGTTTAGCTCACGCACTCCACTTTGGCGGCCCAGGGTTTTGCCTGTTTGGATCCTGGGCACGGACATGGCACCGCTCATCAGGCCATGTTGAGGTGGCATCCCACATGCTACAATTAGAAGGACCCACAACTAAAATATACAACTACGTACTGGGGGGATTTGGGGAGAAAAAGCAATTAAAAAAAAAAAACAACGAAGAAGATTGGCAACAGTCGTTAGCTCAGGTGCCAATCTTTAAAAAAAAAAAGAAAACACAAACTTCTTGTCATGGCCCACAAAGCTCTGTAGATTGGGCCCTGCCCTCTCTCAGACTTCGTCCCTCATCATCCTCTCACCACCCCCACTGGAACATAAGCTCCAGGAGGACAGGCGCTTCATCTTTGGCACTGATAAATTCCCAGTGCCTTGTGCCAGTGCCTTGCACAAGGTAGGTGCCGAGTACCTATTTGTGGAGGGAACGAATTTATTTTCTCAATAGCTTCTTGTAAAGTAGGCATTTTATTCCTCCTTTACAAGATGAGGAAACTGAGGCTTATATATGTGAAGTGACTTCACCAAGGTTACAGAGCTGAAAAATGGCAAAAGCATTCATTCATTTATTCATTCATTCAACAAATATTTAGTGAGCAGCTGCTACTCTTCTAGGCATTGACGCAGGATTCAAATTTGAGGCTGATGATTTTAGAACTACACCATCTTTTTTCTTTCTTTTTTCTTTTGTATTCTTTTTGAGAATTATAAAAATAATAGAAAGATACACTCTTTTTTTTCTGCTTTTTCTCCCCAAGTCCCCCCAGTACATTCCACAGTACAAGTCCCCCCCATTTTGCTCAGCATGATTTTCAGATTCATTCATGTTGTCATGAGTACCATTAGTCTATTCCTTTTTATCGCTGAGTCGTATTCCAATGTATGAATATACTACAATTTGTATATCCATTCACTGGTTATTGGACATTTGGGTTGTTTCCAGTGTTTGGTTATTATGAATAAAGCTGCTGTGAACATATGCATTTGCATGGAAGTATTTTTGTAGACATGTATGTTCATGTCTCATGAACATCTAGGAATGCAATTGCTGGATCATGTGGTAAGTGTATGTTGAACTTTGTAAAAAATTGCCAAATTGTTTTCCAAAGTGTTTGTACCATTTTACACTCCCACTGGCAATGTATGAAAATTCTAGTTGTCCCATATCCTTATCAACACTTAATTAGTCTTTTAAAATTGTAGTCATTGTAGTGGTAGCACATTGTAGCTTTAATTTGTATTTCCCTGATGAGAAATAATGTTGAATGTCTTTTCCTGTGCTGATTGGCTATTTGTATATCTTCTTTGTGAAGTGCCTCTTCTAATCCTTTGGCCATTTAAAGAACTGGGCTGTCTTATTGAACTATAAGCGTTTGTTATGAATTCTGTATACATGTTCTTTGTCAGGTTGTATTGCAATTATTTCTCCTAGTGGTAGCAAATATTTTCTATTCTAGATAAATGAAAACATGTTCACTCAAAAGTCTGTACACAAATATTTACAGCAGCTCTATTCATGCTTGCCACATCTGCAAACCATCCAGATGTCCTTCAGTGGGTGAATGAATAAACAAGCTGTTATGCATGCATGATGCACACTCAGCAATGAAAAGAAACAACTTACTTTTACTTGCAACAACTTGGCTGAACCCTAAGTGTATTATTCTGAGCGGAAGAAGCTAGTCTCAAAGGACTGTACGATTTCATTATAGGACACCTTCAGAAACACTGAACTGCAGTGATGGAGGACAGGTCGGTGGTTGGCAGGGTTTAGGGATGGGAGTGGGGAAGACTACAAACGGGTAGCACAAAGGAGTTTTTTGGGGTGATGGATATGTTCTTTATACTGATTGTGGTAATAGTTATGTGAATCTATATATTAAAATTCATAGATTATATATCAAAAGGGAATCAATTTTGCTGCATGTTAATTAAGAAAATGCTATAAACAAAAAAGCAAATGAAACCTCTGTGAGTGTATAGGTACCTATGTATATTGGTTTTTGAATGCAGAAAGATGTGACAGGAAATTCACACATTTTTAACACTGGTTACTTTGTTGGAGGAGGAAGCAAAAATGATCATTTTCAGTGCACACTTTTGTATTGTTTCATTTATTTTAATTAGTATGTGGTGATTTTGAAATTTGAAAAACATCTACCAAAAATAGAAAACATTAGGAAAATATTTAAAAAGAAGAAAAAGAGTATTTCTGCTTTGTTGAGTACCTGATGATATCGTAGAGAACAGACAGAAGTGTCTCTGTTCTTGTGGCGTGCAGCCTGGTAGAGTCCGGTCCCCACGTCTTACAGATGGCTCATCTACAAAATCTAGCTATTATTAGCACCTGTCTAATAGGATTTTTTAATAAGGATAAATACCTATTAAGGTGTTTGATGCTTGAAATGCTTGAAACAGTGCCTGGCACAAATGATAAATGTAATGTAAGCTGCTACTAATATATCATCTATGATGATATATATCATCATACTGTTAGTCAGTTTTGTTATCATTTGGAGCCTGGATACTGGGATGTGGGGCAGAAGGCAAGGTTTCCTGGGGCTGCCCACTTATCTGTTATTCTTGGCCTTGCTATCTTTCTAACTTCGGGGAAGCCTCTCCCTCCTTCCCCTCCCCTGGTTGACCTATCACCCTCCCTCAGGTCCTAGATGCAGGGCGTTTCCCTCTCAGGCCTGCACTTGTCTCCTTGTCTACATCTAGCTTGGCACCGAGGGACATACATATCCTGAAAAGTGTGAGTGAGACATACATTGTGCTGTTGGACCTGAAGGTGAGCCAACCTGGGAGAAACGTCATCTCAGAGCACGGCAGGATTTGAAAGGTATTGGAGGGGAGGTGGCCCTGCAGGGCACCAGTGATCTTTAAGGGGAGTAAGAGAATTGGGGGAAATACCCAGGGATGAGGGAAAAGGATACTTAAATTCTGTCTCCTTCTTTAACCAAGCAGATGGCCCTTCTTCAGGCTAACAGGGATCTCATTTCCACAGCAATTAAGGAATTTAATGTTCTGCTAAATCAGCAGGTAAGCCCAGGTACTCCATTTCAAAGGACAAGTCTGGAGTACTGGGGGTGGGTGAGGGCAGAGAAGGGAGAAAAATTTGGAGCTGGGAGAGTAATGGTGGAGTTGAGGGAAATAATTAGAGACAGGGAATACAAACCAGAGAAAAGAGGATGTCAGAGTTTATGGGTTATTCCTGAATCACATTGCTGACCACATTCTCCCGGGGCAAATCTCCCCTACCCCCAGGTCTTCTCTGATCCTCCTGTCTCTGAAGAGGCCATGGTGACCGTGGTGAATGACTGGGTGAACTTCTACATCAACTATTACAGGCGGCAGGTGGTGGGGGAGCAGCAAGAGAAGGACAGGGCTCTGCAGGAACTTCGGCAAGAGCTGAATATCCTGTCTGCCCCTTTCCTGGCCAAATATAGGGCCTTCCTGAAGTCCTTGTGAGCACTCAGATCACCCACGGCCTTTCTCCTAGCCCAGAGACCCAGGCTTGCATCTCCAAGAAACCTTCAATCCTGCCTCTGGATTCTTCAAGTCCTTGGGCTCTTTCCCTTTCATAGTGTTACTCTACCTTGACACTCAATAAAGAGGACTACTGGTTTTGCTGGTCTTCCTGGCTCTTGGGCTCTTCTTTGCTTGTCAGTCCCTGACTTGTGGAGGCAGTTGGTCCCTTTTCCTTCAGCCCTGCTTCCTAGATGTGATCTTGGAGATTTCATTCTTTAGAGCAGAGGTTAGCAGCTTTAAGAGGTAGCAGTAACACTGAGCAGTACTAAAATAGGCTGAAGGAGGGGCCAAGCAGGCAGAGACTAAAGAAAAAGTGCTAGGGGGAGGGATGGTAGAAAAAAAGAGGGAGATAGAGGCTCTTCTGAAACTGTGGTCCTGTGACATGCTTGTCTGTAGAAAGTTGATGCAAATCTCCCAGTCTTCTTCATACCACACTAGGTGAATCAAGAGCCCGCTGACCTCAATTTTACAATCCCCTGCGCTTAGCCCCAGCTTGGACAAAGTTATAGCATCTTCTGACTCTAAAGACGACCACAGAATACCCCCCTGGAGTAGCGATGTGATTTAGACTTGGAAGGGATCTTTGGAACCACTCAGCACATCCCTTATTTTTCAGGCGGGAAAACCTTTGGCCCCATCGTCCCTCATCCGCAGATCCCAGGATTGGGAAGCAGAGACTCCTGCCCACCTTCCCTGCTGCCCCAACATTTTCCTGTCATTCCCAGACGAGACCTCCTTTCTCTTCGACCTCTAGACCCTAAGCCTCCTTATTTTAGGGCTCTAGGGTGAAACCAGGGCCAGGTCAGGCTCATGAGCTTTATGAAAAACGAAATGAAGGTGTTAGGGAGAATCAGGAGAGGCCCTCTGGCTGTGCTATCTCCACGGACAGCCTCGAGGCGGAAAGTGGGCGCCGGCGGGGCTGGAGGGGCAGGTCTAGGAGGCAGGGCGCGCCAATCGGATGCTGTGAATGGTGGTGGAGCACGTGAAGGGAGGTGGCAGGGCGCTCTTCTGGTCACTTTCTGTTACATCTTAAGCCGGAAAGGTTTGGGGCTGAGAGAAGTTCTTTTCTCGTTCCAACCTCCACCAAGCCTTCATTTCCGATCTGTGCACTCCCACCTCCGACTTTTGGTTTTGGGGCCTCTGTAGTCTGGTTCAGGGTCCAAAGGGAACGAACTCAGTGCCCCGGACCATCCTTCCAAACTTGAGGAGGCCCCAGACCAGCAAGAGAGTGTCAGCCTCCCAAGGAACCAGCCACCAAGGTCCTCTGAGGTGTGGTTGGTGGCCCAGGCAGAAGCTAGGGCCTCCTCAGGAAATCTTAGCCCGTTAATGGGGACCCAGTGCTTGCTTAGGTGGGACAGTAGTAAACAGCCTTACATTTGCAAAAAGGCCCGGACTGCTGTGCGTGGGTGGAGCAGAGAGACTGAGGAATCATAGAGGAAAGTATTAGATTTCTTCTGTTGCTCTATGAAGCGTGGCTGAAAAGAATGGTCAGAAGCCACTTTCACTCAGTTAGCAAAGATAAACTTTCTATAAATTGGGAGCGCTCCAGCCCTGGAGCTGTGAGCTAACCGTTTCTCAAATGCTCAGACGATGGAAGACGGCCAGTTATCAGATACGTTGCAGTGGAATGGGAACCTCAACATCTAGATTGCATTCCAACCATTCCATAAGCTGTATGAAACTGAGAAGTTGCAAAACATTTTTTTAGGACAGAAACCTGTTAAACTGCACTGTATGTTCCTATCACCCAAGCATCTGGTCATAAATCTACAAAGAAGTAAAATTTGGAATATTTTGATTTTTTAGAGATTGGTAGTGTGAACCATCAGGATCTGATCGTCTGAATAATAAAATTAAAATTACTGGGACAGTGAGCACCCCAAATCCATTACTGTTCCTGCAGAAAAATTAACCAGAACTATCAGGAAGAATAATGCTCCTTTTGCTTCAACAGCAATACCTGAATTAATTCTAAGAAATAAGATTGTAAACAAACGGTGAAGTATTACAGCCATAACCCTGCCCTTATCCTCACTCTGACAGAGACTCAGACTCTAGGGCTGACTCTGAACTTGAACCTCACTTTTAACCTCATTCTGACTCTGCCCACCTACCCAGTCCCACTTGACCTTGATCTTGTCCATGATAGACACCCTTGACCTGACCCTGATGCTGACATTGTCTCTCATTCTCACCCTCCCACTGACCCTGATGCTGAACCAAACCTTGAACCTTACCTGACCCTAACTTTCACCCGGATTCTGACCCTGACCCACAACCTGAATCTTGTTTTGACTCTTACCCCGAAATTGACCCTCACTATGACCCTACCCTTACCATGACATTGATTCTGACTCTCAGCGTGTCCCTGACTCTGACTGTGACCATGACGTATACCTTCACCTTCATACTGACCACGATCAAGACCCTCACTCAGGCCCTGGCATTCACACTGACTCTGATTCTGAATTCGACACTTAACCTGACCCTCACCTTGACCTGGATTATCAATCTGACACTGACGAACACCCTGATTTTGACCCTGCAGCTATTCCTGACGCTACTATCACTGGCATGCTGATCCTAACTTTAACTCTCAAGCTTTCTTGACTATGACTTTCACTCTAGCAGTGACCCTGTCCTTCAACCTGATCCTTACCCTTACCCTGAACCTGCCTCTCACCAAGACACTGACTATGAACATGAAGCAGACTCTGAACCCCACTCTATCCCTAATTCCGACTCTAATCTTGACCATGACACTCATTCTCAACCTAACCCTGACTCTTACCAAGAATGTGACATTTATAAACTGACCCTCACCCATACCCTAGCCTCAACCCTGAAGCTTACCTGTCTCAGACCCTCACCTTGAACTTCACTGTACACCTGATCCATACCATGACCCTTATATGACCTTCAACCTGAATCTAACCCAACACTGATATTCAAGTTTACTCTGACCAAGACCTTCATGCTCACCCTAATACTGACCCTCAAGCTGATCATTACTCTGAACCTTATGGTGAACGTGACCAACCTGATCCTGACCCTGAATTGGACTCTGAATCTGACCCTTACTATGTCCCTGAACCTCACCTTCACCCTCTTAATGACCCTGACCCTCAAACTGATTCTGACCATGAAATGACCCCAACAGTAACTCTAAACTTCCTACCTCTCAAAATTTAAACTGAACTTGATCTTCAGCCTGACCCTGATTCTGATCATTACTTTGACCCTGACTGATATCCTGACCTAGACAGTGACTCCAAAGTTGACTTGACCCTGCTGTGCATAAGCACCCTGACCCTAAACCTGACTCTGACCCTCATGCCTGATGTTGTGTCTGACTTAGATTCTTACCTTTAACCTCACATGACTCTGAACCTCACCCCGACCCTGAAACTTATAAGGACTCTGACCCTAATCCTCACCCTGACTCTCCCCTTGATGCTAATCCTGACACTGACTGATTCTTAACCTCACCCTGACCCTGAATTGCTTCCTCACACTGACCCTGATCCTTACCCTCAAACTGACCCTGACTATTACATGACACTCAACCTGATACTGACCCTGATTGTGACTTCATTATGACCTGCACCCTACTCTGATGCTGATCCTACCCTGACATTCATCGTGTCCCTGACTTTCACTCTGACACTGAACCACTATGTTATTCTGACTCTTGCCTGATGCTCACTTACACTGACCTTGACTCTCACACTCACCCTTTCCATGACTCTAGCCTTGACCCTCAGCTTGATTAGACATGATCATGACCATGACTCTGAACCTGAAGCAGATACTCACTCTTACCTTGACTCTGACTCTCTCATTCTGACACTGCCTCTATTCTATACCTGAACCTTACCCTGATGCTCACTCTCACCTTGTGTCCGACCACGACACTAACCTTGACTCTGATCCTGATTCTCAGTTAGACACTCTCATTCTCACCCTGACTCTCATTCTGTACCTGACCCTGACCCTCTCTTTCACCTTTATTTATCTTCAGTTGCATCCTTACCTTGACCCTGACCCTAATGTTGAAGTGAATGCTATACCAGCTCTCAACTTGATACTCACCCTGGCTCTGAATCTGAACCTTACCATAACCTTCATCATGAATATAAACTTGACCCTTACTTGATCCTGACCCTGATGCTCACTCTTCACTTACCCTGACTTGACCATTACCTTCTCCCTGACCCTGACTTCACTTTAACTCTACAATAACCCTCACATGTACCTTCACTACGTCCTTGAAACTGCCTTGAATCTGAGACTTGTGCTGAACCGGAACCAGATTCTCACCCTGACCCTGACACTAACCCTCCCTTATCCTGGCCCAGGTTGGTACCCTACCTTGATCCTGAACCTGATCCTCATGCTGAAACTGAGCCTGACCCTCATCCCAAGTATGACTCTGAACATTTGCTTTACACTCCTGACTCCCCATCCTGACTCTGACACTGACTCCCATTCTGACCCTCACAATGACTCTCAACCTGACCTTGAGCATGACTCTTGCTTCATCCAGACCCAGCAATTCACATTGGCCCTTACCCTGAACCTGACACTGATCCTGATTCTAACCTTTCTCCTGACAGTGAACCTGACATCATACTCTGAATCACACCCTGACCGTTACCCTAAAAATAACTGTCTCTAATCCTTACCATGTTCCTAAACCTGAGATAATCCTCCCCCTCACACTTACCTTGACCCGACCCATACTCTGAACTTCGCCTAACCTGACTGTCAACCTAACCAAAACCTCACTTTGACACTCAAACTGACCTTGATCCTCACTTTGTCCATGAGCATAACTCTGACCCTGATTGTGAACCTCACCCTCACCAAGACCCTGCAATTAACATTGACCCTTACCCTGACTCTGACCCTGATCTTAACCATGAACTTTAGGCTTACTTTCACCACACCGTAAACCTGACCCTCATCTTCACTGTCATCCTGACGCTGATCTGATCTTCATCATGAACCTGACCTTGAACTGACCCTCACCCTCACCCAATTCTGACACTTACCTTCACCTAGACTCTCAAGCTGACTCTGACACTGATCATGTCTCTAACACTG